TTTGCTTGTAATGGTAAGAGTAGAGGTAAGGGCGAGTTGCTATGTTGTTAGCAATGCAGAAAAATCATATCTGCAATTTGTTTACAGCTGCAAATAAGTATTCTATGGCTCGGAAACGAAAAGTCTATTGTCTTTCAAATATTGCTAATCTTGCGATTTTTAAAATTTATTTTTATTTATTTATTTTAATTTTGTACTCATCTTTGAACTATTTATAGTTAAAATGACGGGAAGGGGTTCTGGAACTCAAGAAAACGTGCGCAGATAAACGTCACATACAGCTTTTCCTTTTTTTTGACTGAATGTATCTAATTCTAACTCTTCTTCTGCAGGGACGCACGCAGGGCGCTCTCGGCCCGAGCGCTTCATCGCGCTGCACCCGTTCCTGTACTTCGTGGTGGACACGGAGACGAGCATCGCACTCATCGCAGGGAAGATCGAGGACCCCACCGACTCCCGCATCCGCTGACCGGGCCTGCGCGGCGGGCGGCGGGCGGACGACGTTCGAAGCAAAGAGAAGGTAAACCGAAAAAAATCCCTGCAAGTTTAGTGTACCAAGAACGATAAACCATATTGGTCCCTCTTGGGAACATTATTCGACACGTGGAATGATAAAATTTCTCCTTTACAATAAAACTTGTAACGGCTCTCTTTGTTATTGACGAAACGATGATACTGGACGAAATAAATGAACCACAGCCAGTGCTCAAGTATAAATAATTACGGTATATCCAACTTGCCTTGCGATACAACTATTCGGGAATGATTGCCTCGTGATAAAACTACCCCCACTGAATAAGAATTTGAAATTTATTTCAGAAATATTTAAAAGAAAGTGCTGCTTTCGTAGCTGAAATCTTCACTAAACTTCTGCATACTTTACAATTTCACTGCCGGCATGTCTTCTGGCCAATTCGATCACTTCCAATGGTAAATGCGTCTCTTCAATTCAATACCTGTGAAATATAAGGAAATACCTAGAGATGTCTTTTCTCAAATTTGTCTTCATAACTACACTAGAAACATTAACACCTCAATGTGGTTAATTCAGCAGTGTTTTATTTTACTTCAAAACTGAAAACTGTTTTTGTTGAAGCTATGTGAAGTGTATTTTTCTGAACGTCAATCAATTGTCGTAGCCTCATCTGCTTGGTTTTTATTTATTATACATTGTTGTAAGTTCTTTTGTACAAAAGAAAATCACAATAAAATAAATAAAATTATTTTTAAGTCTGATTCTTAAATCCTAAATAACTGGCATTGTTTATTATTAGGGTTGTGATTTATACGCAGTAAAAAACAAATGTAATTATAGTTGGTAATATATACATTAAAAAAGGAAAATATACAAAATAGTGTAATGTCTTAAGTTTAAAAATAAATAAAAAGTGCAATATGAAAATATGTTCACAGCAAAAAAGGTACATAAATCATATAAATTGTTCCAAGCCACAAACATTAAGTCAAGGGTTGAACTTTAAAGAACGCATTTATTAGGAAAATACTGGGAAATGAGTTAAATGTACATTTCACAAAATAAAAAAAAATATAGGTATTGCGACAAAAAGATGACTCCCTGTCTATTATCAGGCCTGACTCTTTTAATATCACTCCACGTTTGCGCCATGTGTGGACACACATAGGCGCTCGGCGGATGCACATTTAATTTCAACTGACACTGCCGATGACGTCTTAACGTGCTTCTCGACCGACTTCGTACGTGACGGGCGAGCGCCACCGCTGATCCGTGACTGACAAAGTAAACAAATCCTCGGAAGCCCATTGCTTCAGAGCAGGTCACATGATGTACCATGGCAAGTAGCGAGAGGACTGTCAGCAGCGTACACGCTGACGTAACTGCACCTTTTGAGCTTCTTTCTGCGGATGAGAGATGAATATGCAACAAAAATATGCAATTTTGGTGATATATGCGAAACAAAAATAGCTTATTGATTCTAAATGCCTCAAAACGTATACAATTGGTTGAAACGCGATGTTTTAGCCAACAGGAAAAATTATGCAAATACATATAAATCACAGCCCAATTTATTATACATACATTTTATTATACATGTACTTCTATTCAGAATGATTTGTATCATTAATACTGGATTGGAAAAGATCATGAAATTATACCCATTAACAAATTAGTATATTTAAACGCACATGAACATTTTTAAGAAAACTGTTTTATGACAGTTGTCTTGCGGCAAAATTTGTTTTTAAATATTGAAATATTTGCTTTTTCTAAGGTAAGGGCCAGACGACGTTTTCTAAGGTAATTTTGGTACGCGTTATTTGTTGCAAATGCAGTCACGTTCGTCCAATTACATTTTGTGTAACAAGTTTCTCAAAAATTCTCTAACAAGTGTTTTATCCATTCGGAAAGTAAACTCATGTGCAGGGTTGGGAATTTCAAAGCGCGATCTACACATTTCCAGAGACTGGTTCGATATCTCGATTCGCAGCACTCCTCGACAGGACCCGATGACTCTTGCAGCACTTAAAAAGCGGCCGTTGTGTGCAGAACCTTTTAATGAAATTCACTCCATTTTTCAGTCCTGCTTTTTATTGCGGACGGGTAAATTCTAAAATTGGTTTTATAATCAGAAAGTGATGCCAACAATGTAAAGAAAACGTTTTAGGAGCTTTATACTAAATTATAAGAAAGTGTTGAGAAGTACCTAATAGTGTACTTTGGAACTCATCACTAAAAGGTAAGAGAACTACAATAGTATAATTCATTTCCTGATTATTAATATAAAGTTACTCGAAACAATTGGCCTGGGAATGACAACCCGTGGTCCGCTTTATGTCAGCTAGAGACCCGCAGAGCTGGCACAGGTAACTCAGGGCGTTATCTGATGTCACCCAGTGCCTCTGGGAAGTCCAGGTCTCGAGTTTCACCGGTGGCAAGATTTGCAATACTAGCTAGAAAGCTGGGTCAAATTCAGCCGCTGTCTGGAGAATTCTAGCGTCCGGCTGTTCAGATTAGTAGATTTCTGTGGATTCTCCGATCAACATCAGGCGAACGCAAGAGCATTCCTAACAACGGAGCCACGGACCGCTCGCGACCTTTCCTTCCTCTTCTTTGTCCTTTCCTCACTCCCTACACACACTCTAATGACACATGCCAAGAGATAAGTCGACAGCTTAGAGCTTGTCCCAGCTGGCGGTGCCCCGCTGCTGGGAGATTCCTGGTTGAGGAAAATCTCCGCAAGCCGAAGTATGTCGGCGAAGGTTCTCGCCAGCTAGCAGGGGTTGGCGCCGGACCTCGCCAGTCACAGCCACCTGCCGCGTTAAGACACTATACTTATGGGATTCATGACCTTAGCAGTTGACGCGCCCTAATCAATCATGTATGAGAGAGTCTGTTCATCATCTCAAGAATCTTGGCAATTCATTTCAAAAAGCGCTTGCGCCGGTCTTGCCAGGTGTGGCAGGATGATGTAAGGACATCATCCTTGTTAGAACCTTGCACCATAGGTAGGCCAGTGTTACATTCGCCTGTCAATCAGCGGACGTTGTTACGGATCGGAGAAGGTTTCCTCAGAAATAACTTACTTCGATTCGTATACAAATATTTAATAAATACTGAAGAACAGTTACAAGATACAAGCGAGAGTGACCTCGACCACCTCGTGACGAGCAACCGCAAGGCAGCGAGACAGTGATCTGACTTGTTTAGACATGGGCGTCGAGCTTAAATACCAGTGCCTACGTGACTTACCCCGCGTGTGCTGGCATGAGGCGTCATTACAGTCAAAGGCTAGGGCTCGTAGGTCGGGAGGATATTTTAGTCATGGTCCCTCGCGGGGTGGCTCCGTCACTGTGGCTTACGAGACCCCTGTTTATAGTAGCACTTTCGTCAGGGTGCCGCATTCGTCAAGGTGCCTCATTCATCAGGGCCCTTCATCATGGAGTCAGCGGTCAAGGAATGAAGTGGCTCCGTTACTGTAGCATACGTGACATCTGCCTATAGTAGTGCTTTCGTCAGGATGTCTCATTCGTCAGGGTGCTTCTATGGATCAGAGGTCATGGAAGGGGGTATCTTCGCCCTTGTGGCCTACGTGACCTCTGTCGTGTGTAACAACGTGCAGTTGCAATCGGCCTCGTGAGAATTCGACGTTGTACCCGTATTAATAAAAATAGAAGCTTCTAAAACTAAGTAACGTGTTCTTCATGTAGATCATGTTTTCTTTTTCAGGAATAGTGATGGTAAGCGAATCAAGATTTATTTTGTGTATATTAACCTACGATGATGCTTGATATATTAAACCAGATAGATGTATTCCGTACGTACCTGCCATGGGATGACTCAAATGTCTTCGCTTTTGACACCGAAAGGCCATCTGCAAAGATGAGAGTTTCTGCGCAAAGTGTGCTGAATCACACGAAAGAGAGGGTGAGGAAAATACACCAAAGAAATGCATAAGTTGCATAAAGGCTAAAAAGAAGAACACAAACCAGGCCATGTTCTATAACTAATAAGAGCAGTGGATATTGAAATTTCAAGGACTGACTATGGACCTTAGGTTCTTGCAAGTCAACCTTGGAAGATCTATGACGGCCATGGCGAGTTTGGAAAAACAGCTTAGTGCTGAAGATTCTCGAGACATTTTTTCTCATTCAGGAACCATATACTTTGGGTCATACAGTGAAAGGAAAGGAATACACTGATCCTAAGGATTGTGGAAATGGAACAAAATCTCCGCACTAGAGTAGTCATACTCATAAACGACCCTGAATTCCGAATCTTGCTCTTCGCAACATATTATCCTAGACATACCTATTTGAGAATTACAGCTAAAGAATAATGCTCCCCACAGGAGGATATTGAGCCTGTCGCGGACAAAATCCAGCATATCATACTGCCTTTTCTTAGAACCATCCCAATCCTGATTGGACTAGATACAAATGATCGATCGAAAGAAAAACTCTCACATCATTTGCTCAAAAATAATAACTCTGTAACGATAATTAATGAAACTACCTTCCTTGGTCTATCAATTCAAGAAAACCTATAAAGGAATGCTCGCATCCCAAATCTTAACATGAAACTCACTAAATCTTGATATGCCCTATAAACCCTCAGATCAAGCTCCAACATTGAGACACTTCGAACAATGTATTTTACAAATGTGCACTCACACCTAAAACATGGAATAATATTCTGGGATGAATTATCCAAAAGAGAATACTGCGAACAATGACCAGCATAAACTGAAGTCTTGCAAACACTTGTTCAATAAACTAAGGATTCTTCCTCGACCATGCATGTATATATTTGAAATGGTGGTCTTCACAAAGATTTTCATGGAAAACAAACTAATTAATGATAATCTTTAAAGACATGAACTGAATTCATACATTTATAAGAAAATTGAAAGCTTTCCTGGTTAACATGTTCTACAGTATGAATGAATGTCCAAATCACAACAATACTTACCTTCAAAACATAAGTATATAAAAATTCGTATCCCATTTGACGTTGTTTCATGTCGACTGTTTCTAGTTGAAGCAAAGAGAAAAGAACTGGCATATCTCGTCCTGCGATGTAGAAGGAGAATGCCTGACCAAAATTTGTTTCTTTCACCCTGAATTTGCTAGACGCAGTAGGAATAGGTGTACAAATAGGAAAAAACTGGTGAAAACCTGCCTCATTTCAAAATTTAAATATAGAATGTACTAATATTGTTCAATCTTATGTAGTTACAACTTTAACTGATATCATGTACTATATTATAATAATAATAATAATAATAATAATAATAATAATAATAATAATAATAATAAGTAGTAGAAATAAAATGACAATAACAACAATTTAATTTTAAACATGAAACTAGATATCTTGAAACGTTTAATTATTTGCCACTAAAAATTATATAAATAACTATATAATATCTTTATCTGTAGCAAGTATTGTAGTATAATTCCTAGGCCAATGACCCCATCTCAATCAGGTTCTTAGTTCAGTTTCCATAGTCCCTTGAGCAAATGCTGAGATGGCTCCTTGGTTCGCTTCTGAACTGTAATGTATTTTCACTCCCTGCACCATCATATTGACTCGTCATACACGATTGTAATTGTATACATTACTCAATAAATATTATAATGCCAAATCAATAGAATGACATAGTGGCACACAAGACACTCGTGGTGACTACATACAAGACGCGTTAATACGAAATAAGACTTTTAACCGGATACTTAGTGTTGGCACAACTTATTAATATTTGATTCGATTTCTTTATATCAGTGGCGAATGACTCCGCGGGGACCTTCTTTAGGAATTGGACTGGTAAAGTTGGCGTGATTCTCAGTAATCACAGGACCATCTGCTATAATTTCAACATGGCACAATGCCTCTGTGTATGTCAACCCCACACGAAATTCAGAAATAGGAAAGCGAACTGAGGCGCTTTTCAGCTGTCACTTCGGGAGGCAATGGACGGGACCCAGCCCCCGGATGAGACTGCTGGGGTTGCCGAGTTGATAAACTATATTTCCAATATTGTACTCAAAGCAGAGAAAAAGTCCATACCATATGCTGCGAGAAAACTGCGAGATTGCGAGTGGGGTTCTCTGAGATGGACAAGCGAGATAAAGAGGAGAAGTAGAGAATTATTAAAGAATACGATCGAAACATCACTGCTTTCAATTCACGGGGAGTTCTATATAGATTGCATCTGACAAGTTGTCTAAATGACATAGACAAGATGTCAAAGAAGTCCTACCCGCTGTGACGGTCCTGAAACCCCCTTCGACACCTGGGATAAATTGTGTTTGAAATTGCTGAAATTACTACCGCCACCAGATGTTGTAGAGTGAAGAAAATCAGCACCACGAGACTCTAAGGGAGCGCATGGGTACCTGTCCACAAGTCCATGTCGCCAATTTCTTTACAATGAGAAGGAGAGAGAGCCCGACGGCTTGACGGCATTCGCGCCGAAAAGGCCCGGGAAGCCCTACCTGTACTAGGTCTTTGCTCTTTAAACTCTATATCATGTGCGTTGAACTAGAATACTTTCCCGACAGCTGGATGATCGCGAAGGTTGCTCTACTAAAGATTAAGTCGGATCGGCCAGCCTGCGATCCTAAACTGCATACCGGCCAATGGGCCTCATCCGCCTTGGTGAAAATCCTTGATACGATGGCCATTGTAAAGATCCAATACCATATACGTCAGAGGGAAGATCTGAGGAGCAGTTTGACTTACGACCACAGATCGAGAGATCCACAGCAGATGCAGATAGTCTTCTATTGTGCGAGCGAGCGAACATAACGATCAGCTCTCCTGGCTCTCAATATAACTTATAAAACCTCTCCCGCGTCTGTTCTGCAGATGATCTCGAGGCGTATGCATCCGGACCTTGTGGTGATTGTGGCAGATATCAAATTCGGCATCCAGATATCGAGGTCTGGATCGATGAGGTGTCCATAGAGTTTTGTGTTCTACGGGAGACCCTGATGGTAGAAAGAGCTCGAGCCACTGCTGTCTGGCAACGCGGGTAGGTATCGGAGTCCAAGGGCAGGGACATGTGTCTTTTGACCCAAAGTAAAAGCTTGTACTGACGTAAAACATTTCAGGCCCACAGCTGAAATGGCACAAATTATTTCCGGACACGGCCCGTTCAGGATCAAACTCAGCGATCTCTGCCTTAAAGATTACTACACCTGTGATTGCAAAGGAGACCGTTCTGCATCACTCTGTGAATGTCCGATGTGGTGAAATCACCGACACAGATTTGAGACAAAGCACGGTGTCCAATTAAATACCTATACCCTTGCAAGGACCGTGTCAATCGTCAAATATTATGATTTAGAGCGATTTGCCAGACAGATTATACCGAAACAAAAATCCAATGATGTCTAATATTCATAAGATGGGTTACCCGTGTTATAGAGTTAATGAGATATGTGTTTGCCCGGAAAGGAGAATCACTTGAACTAAACAATGCGTATAAAAGCCAGGCCGTTCGGATGAGACGTACTCCTTGACGAAAATCAGCTGTTCACTAGATCATCCAATTCAACGTCCCCACAGTATTGTCACTGTAACGACATATGATTGGATGAAACCGCAACTGCTGATTTACGCTAAGTGCAAGACTACATAAATCGTACTTATAATGCAGCTTGAGAGTCTGGCTAATGGGCCACGTTCCGGGCGCCCGGCCTCTCGCCTACAACAAAGGCCAACGTCATCGGTCTTCTCTGCAAGTTAGGGAACAAATAAACACATATACTGTCGGTGCGCCCTTCCATCTGTGGTGGTTAAATCTAAAATCAAAAAACCGTTCAGTCGATTTTCTCGAAAACTGATATTCCCTAATCGATCTGGCTGATGTCGCGGCGCCTTCAATTTCAAACCGATATATTCATAGGGGGGGGGGGTAACTTTGTATGAAACCTTTGGTTAAATTACATTTTCCAAAAAAAAATGGCACATCAACAATTTGTAATTATTTCTCGGCTAATTCATTTAAAAAACTCATACTTTTTCAATAAATATTTTGGTGTTTTCTATAAAGAAATTCATGCTTAATGCATGCTTGTGCTTTCCGTAAATGAATAGTTATGATGTACCTAGATAACTGTATTTTGGCACTTTTCCTACAAAAATTTTCACCAAGCATTGTGCCCAACGAGTCGACCATTGTTTTAACAACGCCGCGCTGTCTGTCAAAGCAAAGTTGCGTGAAATTGTTCTGCTTTTCTGTACAATCTGCTGCAAATATTGTCAAATTTATTCCTGTTTGAGTCATTTGTAAAAGTAAGAAGTGACCGCTCCCTATTACCGCTACATGCGATTTGTTTTCGGGTAATACAAGCTGAGGTGTTAGTAAGGTAGAAATTGCAATCTTTCAATATTAAGAACTGTTTATATGTATATTCATACAAATATCCTATTTGAAAACAATATTTTTTTCATGAATTCTCTTCTCATTATATAATACTTGCTACAAATCCCTAACTATTGCATGCAGGGCCAAATTGCCTCATTATTAATTTAGGAATTTTACTTTAACACAAAACTTAGTCTTCCTACAATAGCAAATACAAATAAATGTTTGTTTTGCTGCTTTCCTTCTGGAAATCCACAGCAATTTTGAACTTTGTCCAGTTTCCATTCAGCCTCCATTTCCAATTTGTCCGCCACACACGTAATTACTTCCTCTCTAATTGTATTTTTATAACCTTAAAACATCGCCTTTACAACTCACAATTCAGTCTAATTAGCGCAACTAACTTTCCCTTTTACATCTGACTCGCACTTTGTCAAACATTGCCCACCCCATTACTTTTATCCATCTTATTTAACTCCTGATTGGTCACATACATTTCAACATCTGTTTATTTTGTTTCTTGCTCATAATAACTTGACTTATTTGTTAATATTGAGTATTTTCCCCACTATCAATTCTGATGTCTTTGTATCGTTTCCCAAATATGGCTCACTCTGTTTCTTATCTATACCCCCGTTGTTGCTGATGTCCATATTTACAATTACATAAATTTATTATTCCCATTTAATTATCTTTGTGACAACCCATCTCAATATTTAATTTTTTGGACATCCACAGAATATAACACCAATAATACAATAAATTGTGTACACATACATTCCTGTTTTTATCATAGCATATTTCAGTGCCTACATAAGCTCCTCAACCACTGGCGATATTCATAAAGGAACAGCTTTCCTGTTTAGAAAATTCCTCTAAGGGATCAATTTGACAGTGTGAGAGAAACAAATATATTGCAGGGCAATGACAATGCAGATGAACCCATTTACAAAGGAACGGTAAATGAATATGGACATAACCTGCAGTTTTGTTGCCAAGGCCTGGAAGTAGCTGTCACTATATGAATCTCTCTCTATACCTACAAGCCTCCCCATCTACACTATGTGGCATGTGAGTCCCTTACTGCTTTGTACAACATAGTTTGTGAGTCCATTGCATATGTTCTCTGCAAGTGGGGTAGGGCACCTGGACTTTTCCACCTTCACACAATTTCCAGAGGGAAAGAACACTCTACCCAAGAATGGAAGACAATTGAAGGGTGAAACACAGTCCCGAGTCACAACAAAAACATCCCTAGAGGCGAAATTCAAAACCATTATTTGTAATTGTCTCTTCCTATTCCTCTCTTCTACTGGAAAGTTTAGTCTAAGTTTTGAGGGTTAAATTGCATTATCTGACAATAAGAACATCTGAACCAGCGTTTTCTTTCTGCTTCCACTCAAATTCATGGACTCTTTCATAATTGTCAACTTGAAGTTAACAAAGTTGTGAACATGAACAAATTGTCCATTGGAAACATCAGTACAACACTCCCCACAATTTTTATGGTTTCTTTTGCTTCAATGCCATTAATATTTTTTCTAAAAAAATATTGTTCTGAACCATCTGGCACAGCCAAAACCAATTTGTTTGCAAATATGAAGGGCCTTCCATTGGTTACATCAGCATTTTAGTTTGACAGAAAGAAATTGATCCCAACCCCACTCAGCGTAACTTGGTTCAAGTCATCCCCACACTTATGAGGCATTTAGAAAATTACTTCATTTTCACATAAAATACTTCAAGAGCCTTGGTTTCAGTATGAACTATGGACATTTGGAATAGGAGCTATGATAGGTTAAAGAAACATTTTTAATTTTCTATTTTGTTTATTGACTAATTTGTTAAGTTCCTTAATCACAAATAAAGAGTCTTCTACTGAAGTAAATTTCCATTTGATGTCAAACATCCTTACAGTCAGGATGTAATTGGTTCAACTTCATAATCTATTTAGGAAAGATGTAAAATATTAGTTCTATTACTACATTTAAGCAAAAGTACACTAATGCCAAGAAACAATCAGTACGTTAGAAGTGAAATTAAGCCAACATGAATTTTATGGATAAATTTATATTTCATCACAAAAATACTTTTAACTTGTATTTATTATTTTAGAAATCCATACCATTTTTTTCTATCAAATGAAGGCTTCAGAAATATTTCTGTATCATAATTGCAATGGCTCTTCCTATGACATAACCTAAAAAGGACAAAGGTTAAATATTAGTACACTCACTATATGTAAGCAAAGGTAACCTATATCGAACAATAATCAGTACGTTAGAGGTGAAATTTCAGCCAACATGAATTTTATGGATAAATTTACATTTCATCACAAAAATACTTTTAACTTATGTTTATTATTTTAGAAATCCATACCATTTTCTTTATCAAATAAATTTTTCAGAAATATTCCTAGATAGTTATTGCATTGGCTCTTCCTACGATCACCTAAAGAGACAAAGGTTAAATATCAGTACACTCTCAACATGTAAGCAAAGGTAAACATGTATCAAACAATCAGTACGTTAGAAGTGAAATTTCATCCAACATGAATTGTTATGGAAAAATTAACGTTTCATCATAAAACTAATAAAGTAGAAATTGAAATTATGGAAAACTTTACCATTTTGTTTCATGTGTTATCAGAATTTGCAAATGTAGTTTTACATGAATTCGAATTATAATATCACAATTTTAAGTTTGAATTTAAAGTAGCATAAATTTTAGACGCCCACTCTATTTTAAACAAATGAACTTGAAAAGCAAGGATATTCATACAACCTCTAAAGGAAACAAAGATTCATTAATGACCTAATCAGGAAATATATTCTAATCTTACAAAAATGATATGCAAAATTTAATTGCACTGACCTGTATCAGCTTCTCGAGTGCGCTATGTAACGAAATGCCTGCAAAAAAACAAAGTCCTCTAATTAAATACCCTTTTTAAACAAACTGTCGGACATTCTAAAATACCAACATCAGATCGCTGTGGGAATGACATTTGGTCATCAACATGTCAGAATTAAACACTCATCATTTTCACTATTTAGAAATATGCAGAAATTTTTTTTAAATTATTGTATGTTTTTAAAATGTCAATGAATATGCTCTAAAATGAACATCAATATCAATGCAGTAAGTATGAAGCAGATTCAGTCCCTACAATTCACAAATTCCAACAGCATAAGAGTAATACTCACATACATTGGGCTGGCTTATCTCTTTGCAATATTGTTTGTACAAGTAATGGTTCTCACCTCAATTTTTTAGCCGCCCAGCAGAAAATCTCCTAACCAGTGCAAGTACCTGGAAATTCACATCTCAAATTAAAACATTGCCTAAACAAAACATGCAAGAATTATAGAATAGCAATTTCAGTACGCTGTGGGAATGATTTGGTCATCAAACAAATCAGACTTTAAACTCATCACTTATTTTTTGTAAGCCATTTATACACAATGCAAATATTAACTCAAGACGTTGGTTGAGTTGTACACAAGTAAATCAAAAGAAAATCTTCCTGGTAGCAAATGAAATAAATTCATATGTAACATTGCAATTACAAAGAGGGTGGCAACTCATTTTTTCCCGATTTCCAGTGCATTAAATTTTCATTTTCATGACAAGATTTGAAATTTCACATCACTTAAAGAAAATATTAAATCTATGAATTGTTCAGCTCTCAGATTCCAGTCATACAAATTAACAATGTTTTATGACCCAATAAAAACTGATTAAAAAATAATGCTGTACTATTGTTTTTTAAGGAATAGTTCTGTAACCCTCTTAACATTGTCCCTGAATTTGCATGAATGTTTTTGAAATTCTCTCATTTTCCTCCAGCTCTCCAGAAAGTTCTAATGACGCTGAAGAGCCCAGATACCATACAATCTAAATTATCATCATTATAACTATAAATGTTTGTTCTATGATCCTTAACCTTTGCTTTATATCATCCTCATTGTAAGTGTTGAACTTCTATTACACAGCTTATCCTATACAATCTTGTCAATCTAAAAACTGTACCACCACTCCTATTAAAAGAAATAAAGGTTCAAGATCTCCAATTAATTGCTATTACCTTTTTTCAAATTATTGTTGACAACACTGGTATGGTCACTTTAGCTGCTTTTCCAGACCTGCAAGAACGACCAGATATTTGTGAATACTACTCCAACATACAATTTTAATATGAAAAATGAATTTATAGTACAGCTCAGAGTAACTATGACATGTAAATTTCAACTTCGGTCAACATTCATTAGAACAACAAATGTATTCATGACCTCTGCTAACAAATTTCATCATTGCAAGCTTTACAGAGTAGGGACAGTAACTTCGAAAATAAAATATTAACAAAATTTGGAAATATTCAAAATATTTCTCTTACAAAATAGAAATGTTCACTGAACAATGCTTACATTCCATGATAAGACATCTGGATTCTCATCAACCTCAAGCGGTCCAGCAGAACATCAATGTACTGTCCCTGTTGAAAATATACAGGATCTTTAACTCCATTTTAATGAAGACTAATAAACAATTAGTAACTGGTTCACACTTGCAAATAACAGACTCTTGCCTCGAACAGTGTGCATTTTGGTTATAATTAAAATTGTTGGACCATCTGTAGGTCAAACAAAATGACTTAGGATTTGGATTACTTTGGATTAGGAAATGGTGTAGTTTGTTACTTTGCTTCACTGTTCTCTCCCCAGTTGCACTCCTTTTATCAGTAATGGTGAAACATGATTGGTTTGCAAAAAAATTCAATGAAAATGGGACATTTTTATTTTATACTATTTTTTAACACTTGATTATACCGTGTACCATGATAAATTTTAAAAAAATTACATACAAATATATTTTTTATGTGAACAGAAAATATCACTGTGTACATTAGGTGTTACAGTTGGATAGACATGGTACTTGCTGATTACAAAGAACTTATGTGAAAGAAATGAAATCACCAATAATATTACAAAAAATGAAGATAATGGTATGCAAATAAAATGCTTGTAACTTACCCCTAAGGATATTGTAGACATGCCTTCAATGGACATCTTGGAAGGAAAATTTACAAACCTGCATGTAAAATAAAACATTTATGATTACTACACAGACATGAGATTTTAATACAATAAAATCATTTTATTTTACAGCTCAGAGTAACTATGACATGCGTATTTCATCTTAGGTCAACATTCATTAGAACAATGAATGCAATGCATGACCTATGCAAACAAATTTCATCATTGCGAACTGCAAAATGCAGGAAAAGTGTGTGTAACATTTCAAAATTGTTCCATTTTTATTTTGAAGTGTTAACAAACAAAATTTGGAAACACACTACCCTCAACCTCCCCTTGGTTTTACCCTCAAGATAGTATCAGGTGGAAACTACCTTCTCTTAAAACAATAATAATAATAAAGATACAGGATTTTGCAAGTTACCTGTTAAAATGTCACTGTTGCAATCTTGATATGGACATGCTGTTAGCTCCATTTCCAAGCCTGCAAAGACCAAATGTTTGTGAATACTATTTTGACTTATAATTTTCATACAAATTATGTTTTAGTAAAGCTCAGAGTAACTATGACATGCATTTCATTTTTGGTCAACATTCATTAGAACAATGAATGCTATTTGTGACCTCTGCTAAAAGTGTCATCATTGCAAACATAAGGAAAATTAAAGTTAAAACTTAAATATTAATACTAAATAACACACTCGCAAAATAAAATTTTGAACAATTCTTACATGTGGAGATGAGACTTCTCATAATCCAACTTCTGTCAACAATCTGGTGTCCTGCAGTGCAGAGCCTGATGAATGAAAACAGAACCTTTCAATAAAAGGATTTTCCAAAATAACCATCAGTAGACTATTCACATGTTAACACACTTGTGCACTAACTAGTTAGCTATTATATTTAATCCAAAATACTTACAAGGATCTTCTTCAGGAATCAGCACTTGTAATTAACAATATAATAACAATCTAATTAATTTGGAAGTGTAACCACAATGTCAGGACTTACCATACATGAAGTAAATACTTCTCTTTAAATATTATTATTAAAAGGAACTAATTTTTCAGTTTTCCGTAAGAATATGAAGAGGAATTGAGGAAACTGGGGAAATGAAAACAATTGTGCTGAGTGCTAACACATTTTAATGTCAGCAGAATCTCTTTTTTACATAATCAATAACATTAGCCTATTTGCCCTTCTTCGCCTTGATTTTACGCATGTAAAACTCCAGTTCTTTCCCTTCTAGGATGTATCCATCTGCTCTCCCACACTGTCCTGGTCGACTGGAAATGCAAGCTGTTGGAAAAGTTTCATTATTCAAAACTTTATGAATTATATGAACTTGGAAAAATTTAAAATAGAATTAATAACTCATTAATACAATGTCCAAACAGTAAGAAGCAATTCCACTGTATTTTGTCACTTACCTAGAATTCTCGATGCCTGGAATTGCTCTTCTAAGGCAGGTTCAACCTTTGCTGTCTTCTGACGAGTCTTATACTTCTTTTCAGCTTTCTTGGATCTCTTCTTATTTAAAACTTCCTCCTCTTCTTCCGTCTGAACAATTGAAACACACATTCACCTTCAACATTTACTTAATACCATACAATTATTGAATCGTAAGATCAGAGGCCATTTTAATCACATCAAGTCAGCTGACACGCATGGACCGTTCCACATCATATCTTATGATAATGTTATAAGCAATACACATTCTCACTCACCAACTTGGCAGTCTTCTTGCGACCCAGAGGTAGAGCATAATGTGCCTCATACCATTGTCGGAAGGGAACGGCATCAATGACAACAATAGCATTTTTCACCAGAGTCTTGGTTCTCACCAACTCATTGTTGGATGCATTATAGACTACATCAATAATACGAGTCTTCCGTGCAACTCCTATAACATAAATATCAAATAGATGAACTACATTTATCCAAGCCATAGGTACAACAAAACATCAGCTCAACCACAGTAATAAAAGTTCATTCTTTGTCCCTTTCATCCACTGTATAAATACTATGTATAAAAATCTGGGTTGCATTAACCCAATAAACTATCTGAAGAGAAATGTTAGACACCACTGTTTAGTTATAACATTTGTAGTGTAATTGAAAGGTACTGTTTAAGGAATATGCAAATGTCCATTATGAGCTCATGCATTTACATTCTTGATCATTGACAATACACACAACAGGCAATTCCCTTTGACTTAGTGGGTAAATAAAGTCACGTCATTTTCAAATCATTGCTCCCATCCAAAAATGATTGCATTATTAAAAACTATAATTATACCTTCTGATCCCCATGCGAAGTTTCCTTGATCCAAACGAAGCGCTCGATATTTTTTATTTCCACCCCGTGTTCTCACAGTATGGATGCGTCTGGCTCCAAGCTGAAACAAATTCTTCATTTAACTGCACATAATACATATATTGTTTGCACATAAGCAGAAGATTCCTCAGGACGTTAGAAGTGAAAGTAAACCTTCATTAGGATTCAGGTACATTAGTTTTCATCATTTACTATTGTATATGAATCAAAATAAATGTCCGATTTCTACCTTAGTATTAGCAGCTGGGCGACCTAACTCGAACTTCCTCTTCTTTCTAAGGGGCTTCCTTTTGCCGCCTGTTGCCCGGCGTTTATGCCAGTGATCGCGGGAAATACCTGTAAGAAAACATCTCGTTAAAATACAAAACGAACTTCCATTACAATGAAGACACGTTTTCGGGCGAAACCTAAAACTTCAACTACAAAGTAAGTCCTTAATATTTAGAACACCTGTTTCACTCTTTCTCAATATTAAACGAATGATAACAACAAAACTGGCACAATAAACTTTTCAACACGTGCAAAATTCTTTCCCCCTCGTCCACCTAACATGCCGATTTTAACAATCACGTATTTCAAAAAAATGTACATTTTGGCTTCTCGGGAGTAATTAAATAAACACATTATAAAGCTAAATTTGTTACTGAAACCTTCACAGTTATTTCCATTTCTTCAAAAACGCGATGATTTCTGATAACCTTCATCAACCACACACAACATTCAACTTACCCATCTTGCCGACAACGAAAGAGAGTCGGAAACTGCGTTGCCGGAACCCCAGCAAATTCTGTTGTTAACCAATCCCAAGGTTGTATGACTACCAACATATACGAGTTAAGTATCGATGCGGGAACTACTTAGTTTTTAAAGAATCTATAGCATATGACGTACTTATTAATACCAAGTTTCTTTGATTATTGGTTTAAAACTTTTTATTATCTGTATTACATAGAAATTATCTTCTTCGTTGTGAAATCATCATGCAGTTAACATGCTGGTAACAAGGTATTTGGTTTAATGTTGGGTATGATGGCTGCATTGCGGTTCAAGAATGGTGGTGGGAAGTGATCAAAATATTTTGGATTTGGAAGTTTTGTGTTGCTGTTAGCAAATAAAATAACTTTTATTTGTCCAATTTCTATAAAAAAAGATTATATATACGTGCAAGTCACATTACATTTCCATCATAGTTATGGAGATTCCTGGGGAGTCAAACGATAGCTGCGAGGTTAGAAATGCTTCGGCCGCTCCGTTTTCTTTACCAGATGTATTGACAGATGTAGGTATTGCCAGTACCAGCGACGAACAGAATGCAAGGACGAATGATGCCCTTCAATCTTCGTCGCTTGCCGGTGAAACTAATATTCAACCTTCGGTTGAACCATCAAGGGAAACAAGCAACCTATGTAATGAACCAATTTCAGTTTCTGAATTAAGTAACAACCATCCTCCGCAAGGAGAGGCTGGGAGTAATGCTGCTGTTACTAACCAATGCGTAGAATCTCCGAAGGGATTTGTAAAGTCTGAGGATCACACTTCAGACTGTATTAGTAATTTGAACAATAATATTGTAGAACCTGCAATAAATGAGAATGAAACAAATGCTTTGCAGGGGGAAACTCAGGATTATGTTATGCCAAAATATACATTTGCTTGTGAACCACAGCTTATTACTGGTGTATGGGAAGAATTCAAGAAAGTTCCAGAAGAATGCTTTACAAAGGGTTGCAAGTGGTCACCGGATGGCACATGCATCCTAACAAATAGGTATACTTAATTGAACTAATTGTAAATTTAATGACATTTATTTTATTAGGGTGACACTGTTTATTAAGGTAGAAGCTATTTTATTAATGAAAATATGATTGAAACAAAACAAATATTTATATGACATGAAATATCAGTAAAAAAACTTATTGCAGTATTTACTTAACTCAAATGGCCACAATTAGTTACACTAGATGAGTGAAGATCTGCAGATACAGTATAATAAGGAATTTTTTATACATAAATGAGGTTACAAAGCCCACTAAAGCAGACATTCCATGAAGAAATTTAATCAACTCTCAAGCTTTTAATTGAGCACTTGGCCATCCCTTTAAATGGTTTTGGGGCAACAGTCATTTGGATTGTCCCTCAGCCCCTCAGCAGGTCTGAAAAAGGTGGAGACCCAATTTAAAGATTGACCCCCAACCCAAGTTTTTAAATAAGCCTTAAGCCTCATCTAAACGGTGGCTTCTCAGTTGGTATCAAAAATTAGGTGTTCAGCTCTATAATATGTGATTGCTCGTAATTAGAGTCTGGAAGTTAGGTAAAATGCCTTTTTATTAATTTTTTTTACGACATTACAATAGGAATCACTTAATTGTAGTTCTGGAGTTGATTTTCATTTTGCCAATTTTAGCTCCTGACACATATTTTTGCCTTTTTTCATTATTTTGCTATTTAACTTTCTTGTAAACATACATATAAATGTAGTATATAGAGAGTTATGTGATTATGTGAGAAAAAACTGAATTTTTGACAAAAAATATTAATTGCCGGACCCTCATTATGAAAAAATTGATAAATCTAGTTGCTAAATTAAGGGGGAAAATCTTTTAACATGTGGTGTAGCCAGAATCTCTTGTTTGTGGGTCCTTGGTACCTGAAAACCAATTGATAGCAAAACGTCAGTCTGTCTATGAACACCATTACTGCCTAAACCAAGATCATGTCAATATTTTTTTATAATTTTAGCTGCTTTCAAGCAATTTTGCATGAAATATTTGCAATTTAAAAAAATTACAAATCATGTTTTTCTCAAAAACTGCTACAATTTTTTTATTTTAACTTTTGATAATGATAGTGCTTAATGCACTATATAAGATGACATAAACGTCATATTGCCCTATTCTTTTGTTTTTTCAAAAATTCTTAAAATATTTTTTTGACTTCTCTGACATCTTTAATATTTACGTTAGTGGCAATTTGTTTCCATTATTGTATTTATGAGTACAAATGTTTTAAATGATGTCAGAAATAGTTTCTCGAAAACTCAACAGTTTTCTGTGAAAATAAAATCGAAATTTCGCATTTTCAGAAACATTCAAATGCCATTTTCTTGGAAACGACTCCAAATTTTATCTTTAAATTTTTCCAGTAGGGCAAATTGCGCTGTTTATGATGACATAGAATTGACATAGAAGATGAATTTTGCTGTATTCCTTTGTTTTTTCCAAAAATTACCCAAACATAATGTTATTGAAATATCTCTCATGCCATTAATTTGCACATTTTCAGCAATTTGTAAATACTATTGCATTTGTGACTGGAAGTGCTTGAAATGACTTCATATGAAGTTTTTTGAAAACCATAGTTTCCTGTGAAAAGAGGTTCAAATTTTGCATTTGCAGTAACAGTTACACTTAAACACCATTTTCTTAAAAATGGCTTCAAATTTTTCAATGAAAATTGCTATTTAGAACAAGCTCTTTTTTAATAATCTTACAGTATTATTTCAGTTCCATATTAGGAATCCAAAAAAGTGAGAAAATTTTTGAAAAATGTACTTCGGGTGGCGATAGATGTCAGCTTGCAACAGTATGTGGCAAGTCCAAATAACTAGCCCAGACCAAAGAAAAAAACAAAACAAATATATGAGAAAGTCTGTGCCATTTTGAACCACCACTAGTTTCTTCTTTTGGCACCGATCTCTATGAAGTTGCAATATACCTGTTAGCCGGACAACACAAATGCAGGGTCATGTTTTGTCTTTATGGGGAAGCAGAAGCTCTGTTAAAAATTTAAATGAAAAAGGAAGATGGTACTATTCAAGATTTTTTATCTTTTTCATTGATGTCGACATGCTTTGCACACTCATATAGAATCTCATCTTACTTTTTGAGTATGACCTCCAATCTCTCTTGAGGACAGTTCTCTCTTTATGATATACCCTTCTGAGTATGCAAGTGTGAGGAACGAAAAATAAAATTCCATTTTCACTTATACCATTTCAAGATTCAAAACAATGTCCGCAATAACATTTCGAGAAGATACAGTCACGAGAAAGACAACTTTGTATCCCTCAAACTGGATGGGTATGTGGAATCATGAAAACAAAAGAAAAGATAATTTCCTTATATGATAAGTGTTGATATAAATTCTAGAGGTAGAATACAAATTTGATTTATTTTAACTATTAATTTTTTACTGTAATTCCTTTGAAATATGATTTTTCATTTTTTACATGCCTTTTTGCACCCCTATTTTAGTAAAAAGAAATTCCCTTTCCTCTGTTTATTTTAGGTAAAATATATGCCTGAACTTCTGGGCTCTTCTCGTAATATAAGTATTATTTTTTTAATATTATTATTTTTGTGAAAGTAAGAATAATTGATGAAATCCTAAAATGTTATTGTATGACTATTAGTCTTTGACTAATTGTGAGGTGGATGCATTAAGTAAGGTATCTGCATTTTGAGATACACGATTTGTAAGGCACAATGCAATGTGTATGATCGCAGAGTTCAATTAAATAACATTTCTTCAAAACGATCGATAAACTTTCGAAACGATCATAAGCTTAATAAAAAAAATATTGATACCAAACAACATCCTTTATTTATCATAATAATTGAAGGTATCTAACTCACCAGCGATCTAATTAATTTCTTCATTGCTTACATTATTCTCGTGTGAAGTACTGATGTTTCATATAATTGTTTCAACAAGTAGAGTAAAAACATCGTTAGTGACCACTTTAGCACAAAATTTCAAAAATTAGAGTTTTCCACTTGATTCAAGCTTGCAGAATGTGGAGCTTGTGGCTTCTAGAGATAAAATGTAAGATTTATTTATTGAATTGTTCTTGTAGAGTTTATATATTCCCTCATTAGAGATGGTAAATTATGACGATAAGTTGCTGTGGAAACAAAATGTGACATTGATTTTTAAATTAGCCATTAGCAATTAATTAATAACATGTAAAACAAAAAAAAGGATTTCCTATTTCCTTCTTTATATTTTCTAAAATAGGTTGAAAACATCTTATTAATATTGCAAAATGTAAAATACTTTTCTATAAATCTTTTTCTGTAAATCTGATACTTTTTTGGACTTAAATTATCTTCAATTTGATCAGGGATAGAATATCAAGGAGCTATTACTGAGCTAAATGTCTGAAGATTACCAAAATTTTGCAGTTTACAAGTGGCCAATCCTGGATCAGAATTAGGATTTGAAAATTAGTTAATAAAGAATAGAACCAACTAAAAATTGGCCATTTTCAGGAAAGGGGAATATTTAGAAGCAAGCTAATGACTCCTTGAGTTAAATGTAAGAAATTTAGTATTGTAGCGTAAGAAGTTTGAGAAAACTGCTAAACTGTGGCCACTACTGGTGATTGTCCCTATTGTCCTGCACAATTTTTAGAAAAATAGAGTATGCAATTTATTGTTATATATCTCATTGTACACAATTATTTTACAAAATGCCATGTTTTACTCGATATGATATAGCATGTAATGATAATCTAATCATTTGCTTTAATTCCCTGTGGTACAGTTATGTCAGGCAAACACTGTTATTATAGTAAAACAATAAGGAAATAAATAAACAAAAGCAGACATTAAGCTAGGTATCATGGATGCTGTGCAGCGTGCATATAAATGAAATCGCAAACAAAACATTGATGTAAAGAAGAAACTGTACAGTGCTTCCAAAATTATCTGAAATTACGAGAGATCATTGTGAATCATGCTTTCTGCATATGATAAATGAAACATTGTTTTTATCTTGCTTTGAGTTGTAAATAGGGCATGTAATAAATAGGTTCGGTGTGCAAGTGAAGATGAGAGATCTTTCTTCTTCACTTTGGAAATTGCAACACATCCATTGTAGTGCTAAGGAGGTCAATTTTGGATTGGCTTTTCCTCTTTGAAGAAAGCTGATGGCTTCAAATTTGAAACTATATTCAAGATTGGACATGTAAAAGATGATGAGGTATTTTTATCATAATGGCATTGATTTAGGTCCATCTGGTTTACTCTTCCTCCATTTTCATTCCTCATTGTAAGTTTTATTGACTTTTGAAGAGAGAAAAAAAATTTTTTGAATTGTCTCCCTTCATTTCAGTTGCAAGGGAAAGGTTTACCTTCATGACACCAACTATGACCATGGATTTCAATATTCAATGGTTCCTTTAAATTTAGTTTTCATTTTCTCAATTTAACTACAATCAGCATTAAGTGAGTGTGTCCTAAATGGATAAATGTGTGATTTATTGTCTTCAAATTTGAATTTTAGGCAACTATCATGGCTGATTTTTCGACCTGCACATATGTCAGTATTTATACAGTAAGGTTTAATGTCATTTACAACTCTTTTAGCCATATGAAACAAATTCTTGATTCTCATCTCAGTCATAAATGGTGAGATTGAATGTCCAAAGTTGGTTTTTATAAAAGGCTACTGATCTGTACACAACTGCTGTCCACAACAGCATTGCTGTAGGTCAAGTGAATTTTTTTTCCATCTCTGGGTCTTCTTTCAATCTATCCTTCTCAACTGACTTGGCATCAAAGACAAGGTCGCTTGACTTTCCAGCTGGGATTTTAATTCATCCACGTTCAGTGTGAAATTTATATGTTCTTTTGCAAATTTCAAGAATTCTGACTTTATTGTTCATGTGTTATTGTTTTACAACCAGAAGGCTATTGTTGCCTTGTCAACTTCATTGAAATTTGATATTTGTGAAAAATGATAGTCCACAGAATATTCAAAATTCTGGGTTCTAATTTGTTATTCATATTCAAATTGAATTGTTTTCTTCACTTCATTAATAAGTTTATTGTTTTATAGACTAATAACTCAAAAAATCACATTTTCAATCTTAATCTTAAATTTTCTCAGTTAATAAGAAATTGCCATAATTTATGTGAAAATATTGCTACATTTGTTGAGATTTTATTGTAAAAAAACTTTACAAAAAACTTTATTTTTATTGTGAATATTTTGGTAAAACTAAGTGAAAAGTACAAATCATGGGCTCCACAACACAGTATAAAATAATTGTTCATCTTAGCGTTCAGACATCCAGGCACTCTGAACCACGTTAACAAAGTATACATGTATGTTGATTCTAATTTAAACTAGAAGATGTACTAATGGTTTTGAAAATTCTGATGTAGAATGTCTAGTGATGGGCAGAATGAATTAATCCACCTTTTCCCCAAAGCTCCCAATAGTATTGTGTGAAATTCTGTCATGTTGAGAAAAATGGTGGTTATATTTTAAATCAGCATTCTAAATTATGTTAAGAATGGGTATTTCAAAAACAATTTTCAATCATCTCAATTTTGCAAGTTTATATTATTGGTGAAGCAAATATATTTATAAAGAAATTGTATTCTTCCACAAATCTTTAATAATCTGTGCTCAATTCTGAGACTTGAGGTTGTGTAGTTATCTTCAGACTAGATTAAAAGTATCTCGAAGATCTTTCCAATAAATTCTCCAGGGACTTCTAAAACTTTTAACTAAGAATAGCACAGCCCATTAAATGGTGGTCAACATTAACTTATTTTATAAAGTAATGTTATGAAGTAGTGTAATGTTAATTTTGTTTAAAGGTTCTTCGTTAGCAGTAGGGAATGATTTAAGAGTTTATTTTAGATTGTTAACATTTTTAGAAGTCTTGGGAAGATATTGGCTCTAAATAGTATGGAAATAACACAAACAATAAGTCTTTTTGATTTAGTAACAACCATACAAAAATTAATTTTTTAACAGTGATGACAACCTTCTTCGCATCTTTGACCTGCCTCGTGAATTGCATTGCCAAGAATTTTGGCCTGAAGGGAAGACTTTGCCTGAGCTGAAATCAACGTTGCTTATTAAAGAAGGAGGGCGTGTATATGATTATTGTTGGTATCCTTTTATGTCATCATGGAATCCTTTGTCATGTTGTCTTGTAAGCACCAGTCAGTTCAGCCCTGTTCATCTTTGGGATGCATATACAGGACAATTGCGAGCTAGTTACAGATCCTATAACAGGTAAGAAGATTATATTTTTCTTCAATATTTGTGTTTATTTAGAAAGTTCAAAGAGCAAAAGTACTTTATTTATCTAAATCTCAAATAGCTTGAGTATTTTTGCTCATTATGTCTTAAACATTTAATTTGGAATGACTAAAGAGTCAAAATTTTAAAATTGCTACAAGGTTGTTTAATGATCTCTTTATGTTTTTTTTTAGTGTGGATGAAATTGAGCATGCTTTTAGTGTAGCATTTAACCTAACTGGAGAAAAACTTTATTGTGGTTTCAAGAAGAGGTTAAGTGTGTTTCATACTGCTTCTCCTGGAAGCACTTGTGAAAATAGAAACTTAAAAGGTAGTATTTTTATAGTTTTGATAACATTGAGTTGTATTATTTTTGTAATGTTTAAAGGTAATATATAATAATGTATATGGTATTGAGAATTGTCTTGTATAATAATTGTTGCTATTTGCAGGCCTTGGTCGACCTGTTGGGATAGTATCCTGTATCTGTGTAAATCCAGCAAATGAAAATATTTATGCATTTAGCAGTTATTCACGAACTATTGGTACGTTGATGTGAAAGTTGCCTATTTTGTGTTATATTGTATTATTGTATTTGTTGTTATATTGTATATAAATTAGTTATTTTCTTAAACTATTATTATTTTCTTAGGTCTCTGTACTGAGCCTGATGGACAGGTGATGTGTTTATTGTGTAATGAAGGAGGGGGTCTCACCCACATCATGTTCTCTCCAGATGGTTCAAAGTTGTATGCAGGTAGTCGCAATGACTCGCAGCTCTTCTGTTGGGATATGCGCAAACTTGGAAACGTTCTTTTCACAGCAGAGAGAACAAATAACACTAACCAGCGTATCTACTTTGACCTCACTCCTGATGGTCGGTTTCTTGTTTCTGGTGAGTTCTTTGTCATGACTGTAGGTAACTAAGATAGTTGTTTTTTATTACTTTTATTTTCTTTGTGCATTTCATTATTCTCTTGTGTTGCATAATAATCTTTGTATTATTTTTTATTATACAAAAAACCTGAGTAAAAAAAGAAAAAAAGTAATATAATATAACACAAAGTAATATTACATAGGAAACAATATATTGGTTTCAGGGAATTTTTTTCCTTGATTTCCTCTATTTGTGGAAATATCCTTCCAGAAATTACCCTGCTCTCTGTGACAGCTGAAAACCTGCTGCCACTTTCCCTATGTATTGTTTTGTAGTGGTCATTAAGTCACTGTTGAGAGTTCATTGAGTTCAGGCAGATGGGAACAATATGAGCAGAGTGATTGTTTCTTTTTTTAATGCAATCTCTTCGGCTGAAGTTTTAGTAGCATAGAAGTTGTCACATCATTATACTAGCTTAGTGTGGAGCCTCCAGTGAGTATTTGCAGGTTGAAAAGTTTTATTTCTTGTTTACAAGTTCATAATAGAAATTTTAAACATATTTCAGTTGCCCAGCATGTCCATTTTCAGGCATAGAAAGTTATATCAAAAGGATCAATTAATATTTGTTTAAATTTTTGTTTCATTCAAAATTAGGTTTATTATCACCAGTCTGATAAATCAAGTCATAACAATCGATGTAAATGCCTGAAAGAGAGAAAAGAAATTCACAGCCTTTCACCAGTGTACTTGAAGGTGCAGTGAACCCTCAAAAACACAAGTTTTTCTAAAGTTCTGCCAGTATATATTAAGGTAGGAAGATGGCTAGAGGGAACTGGCTAAGAATTGTACTAATCAACTTGTCCTGTCTAGAGTTATAAATCGTATCTGTATGTGCCGTAAGTCAATCAAAATGTGGTTTAGTTACTTAAGCAAACAAAAAACATGTTATTTTGATAAATTTCTTCAAATCTTTTGGATGGATCTTTAAAAAAACGATCATTTCCCCACCTGGAGACTGAGACATGATGAATGACACCTCATTTGTCTCAATGAACTGGAAAGCGGTTAACAGAGTGACAGGCAGATGGCACAGATTACTTGATTTCGATATAAAGGATTACATGACTTACCAATAAAATAAGAAAGTATGTGTGTTTTAATACCACTAGTTCAGAAAAGCGACCCCCAAATTTTCCCCCAAAAGATGTCCTTGCTAAAAAAGGTTTTGCTTTTGTATGATATTCTGAAAGCTTTGTTTCAATTCAACTTTTTGGGAATAGTAATATTGAAATGTGAAAAATATGTTTTTTCGATAAACCACAAAGAATTAATTCTCATAGTAAATATTACAGGAAACAAAACTAAACCATTGTATTAATTGAGATTATCTGTAAATATTACATTCCTTCCGTTTCTTCAATAAATTTACTACTTTCTCATTTTCTACTTCATAGCAAGAGAAACTTATTTAAATATTGTAGGACTGGTATGTGTGTGTTTTAAAGGAAATATATGTTCTGTGGGTCTCTAATAATGAAAAAGTGAATTTTTTGCTCCTATATGTAGTAAATTGCTTTTTGAATTCTTCATATACTTACTTAGGGTACTGTAATCTTCACAGAATGCAAGTTTTGTTGGCCCTTATGTGGAATATTTTCATATTTGAGAGTTGCTTCTTTACAAGAAGCCTTTATGAGGTTTTCAAAATAAATACCTTCAATATTGTTTTCAATTCTTTCGTAGAATTGTTTGTTTCCTCTTCTCAACTGTAGGCCCTATAGTCGTTGTTTTGATTGTGGAGAATCTTACATGGGAGTCAGGGCTTGAAGTCTTGATGGTTGGTGGATGATTTCTAGGATGACAAGATATTTTAAAGATTATGGTGTTTGATGGCTTGGATGTCTTGTGTAGACTAGTGAATTAAGGGGTTTAATTTTCTTGAAGATATGTTGCCTCAGTTTTTTTTGAATCGGATGTGATTAAAATTATAAGAAGGTTGATGTTGAAAATAAGGCTGTAAGTGTTATTCAAAGGATTATAGAGAAATAATCGTAGGTAAGGCAAGGTTTAAAGTGAGGAGCTCTTATGGTAGAATAGTTGATATAAATCTCTAGGATATCATGTACATCTCTAACAAGGTGCAAGGTTCAGTTGATGTAGCTAGAGTAAGGTTGGATTTGGAATGAGTAGTTTTGTAGTCTGTGTCTGTTTACATTATTGTTTACATCCCCAGGTAGTCTATCTGTTTTGAGTTACTATGTTGTATATTTTATTTATATTAGGTTGAATTTTTGTATTTAATTTATCTTTTGAAAGAAATGATATTTCAGTTAAATTCAAAACTTTTTTAAACAATTGTTTTTAGATTTATTTGAATTGTTATTTTAGATTTAAGGCAGGTGAAATATGTCTTGGAAAATGAGAACAAAATGTAATATTTAAACTATACTTTTTTACTAACGTTGATTGCGAAGTTGCAGGGGACTTTAGAAGATTTATTAAAGAAAGTTCTTGTTTGGTTGAAGGTAAAAAATTAAATAAGTTTTTGGTTCACAATGCATTTTGTTATGACAATTAAACAATTTCGCTTTAATTTTTTTATTAAGAATTTAATTTTTTAAATTTATTCATTAGTTTAATGTACAGATAATTAATCTAGTTTACAAATCTATAACTCAAATAAAAAACAATTGTGAACAAATTACAAAAAAGTACTATGAGTACTATAAACTGAAATGTAATGCATGTATTCTTAAAGTTGAATGTCACCTATTTTTCATGGGTTGTAATGACCAGTCAGTATTCCGTACTTTGTAGATAAATTTCAGGATTTAAGTAATTCTTTAGTCAAGTAGATTTCAGTTTCTAAATTTGCAATTTATGAGTTTAACAAAATTAGTGTAACCGTATACGACAAGCATTAGTAATGGCGTAATTATTGTTTCCTAAATACATAAGGCACATTGAGTTTGAATTTTGATTTATAATAGGTTAACATTTTAAACATTTTTGAGTATGTTTTATTAACATTTATTAACTATTGGAAAAATTTTATCTTATAATATTTGTCTGTAACAGGATCAACAGATGGTTTGGTACATGTTTGGGACACACAAGATACCCTTAATCAAGACTCTGAAGTCCCTTTCCTGCCTGTCAAAACTATGTTTCGAGCTCACAATGACTGTGTCAATGGATTGAGGTAATTAACTGAAAACCAGAAATTTATAATTTGTAGTGCATTTTTGCCAGTTAAATATCTTTGAGTAGTTGTCTACTAGTTTCTTTTTGATTTTTCATTTTAAGAAAAAAATGTTTTTGTTGAATTAATTCTCTAATATTTTCAACCCTTCACCTCTGGTTGCAGTTTGCAGGACACTTTTCCTACTGGTAGGGCTGAAAAAACTCGTTATTAAAAATAAAAAATAAAAAGTTTTTTAAAATTTATATAAGAATTTTTAAATTTAATTCAATTTTTTAAATTTAAATCAGATTTATTTTATTTGAATAAGTTTTTTTAAATTATATTAGATGTTTTTACTTTAAACCAAAATCATGAAGTGATTTATTTACCTTTAATTACTTTAAAAGAAGAAGAAAAAATATAAAAACATCAGTTTTTAAATTTATCATTAAATTGTTGTAATTAAAAAAAAAATAATAAAGATACTATATATTTGAAGGGTGTGGTGTCATATGACCCTAATCCATGAAATCTTTAAATTTGATTTATGTGATTTGTGGTCTTGGAACACTTCTCTTGCGTCCACATTACCAAGTAACCTTGTGACACCATCTATTTGCATGATTTATAAAAAAAATATATTCTTTGTTCAAAGAACTTTACCATTTTTTTGTGCAATACCATCTTAATCAAAAAGCACTTATTGTTGTATATCTAAAAACTGAAAACAGTGTTAAACAGTTTTCAATATATTAAATTCTAGTTAATAGTTGTCCTGTTATAAAAAAAAATATTGAGTATAATGGTTGTTACTTGCTCATTAACTCTTAAATAGTCAGTAGGTTAATGTAAAGGTTAATATTATTAAAACTAGTAAGATTAACTACTGTTTTCATTAGTTTTAACAATATTAATTTTGTTCTTTAAATTAGAATTAATAAAATTACCTTTTTTATTAGTACTCATCATCTTTAAGATGTAGATAGTTAAAGAGTGGCTTTAGCAAACATAATACAAATCTAAAATTGTGGACACCATTAAAGATTTAAAGACTTTTTTTCTCAAAATTAGCTCAGTGTGTGAGGGTGGTATTACTGCTAAATTAGTTTTTATCTTCAGACAATTAAATGCTGGATAAAGCTATTGAATCCTTTAAGTCTGTTAGTATTTAACTCTATTTCAAATTGCTTTTTGTTCTTCATTTCATAAGTTTGCTCATTTTACTGTATATTGTTTTTTTGTTTCTTTTTAAAGAGTTCATTTATGTGAAAAAGTTTATAAGAAATATAATATATACTTAACATTAACTTTGTAATTAATTTAATTTTTTGTATCTGAGTAATTTTATATCTTTAATATTTTTTTAACTTAAAATGCAAATATATTTTCAAATATTACAAATAATAAATATTGATTTAAATCATTGAATAAAAAAAATCATTTGATTAAAATCATACCAGCCTTACCTAATAGTAATATAAAGATAACTAAAACAGTATGTTAGTTCTGCATGTTAGCTGTACTATCTTATTTATGTAATTAGCTGCCACCGGGTTATACCCATTTGCAGTTCAGATAAATTTATCTTATCTTAGATAGATAGAGAAGTCAGTCATTGTAATGTATCCTTGATTTTTAAGTTGGTATTCATCCTTTCTTTAAGGGACAGATTTCTTAACACATTTTTTAAGTACAAGTAAGCTGTTTTGAATTTCTTAACCTTCGCCCTCAACATGTTTACATGGATGTGCAACTTGGATTCAGTTTTATATACAATTTTACCCTCAAAATATTCACTCGCTACAAAACAAGATTAGAGTTGATACAATGCCAGACAAATGTCTAAGAAAAAAGTTTGTTGTTTGTGTAAATTGCCATTTTGAGTAATGTATATACAACTTACAAAATTTTGTAAAATTAATTAATGGTCTTTTTTTCTACATTTATCTTCTAATGTTGATTTTTTAAACCACACATTGTGATTTCTTGGTGCTAAGAAAGACAGTATCAATGGTAAGTTCATGATATATATTATAAATTACAGTGTGTGTACTGTACGTTTTTCAATTTATTTGCATGTTATTAACATAGAATACATCAACCACTAGATGAATTTTGAAGGATAGTCTATGATTAATCCTATTATTAAATTAAATAAATTAAATTATTAGATGGGTAAAAGAAAAAGAGAGAGAGAACTTAGTTTTCGATCCACCAGATCATTCTATCGCTCTAATGATATAAAGATAAACAAAGTTTTCAATATTCAATTCCTTTCAGAAGAATGGGAATACTGTGATTTGCAAAAATTCATAATGCTACATTTTGCAAAATTATAGATTTGAATTCAAACCTAGCATTGTGCTGCAGGGACCTAATATAGTAGCTCACACTCTCTTTTATATACTATGATGCAAGTGTGGCTCTCTTACACCCAACATAAACACTTTCTTTGCATCAAAGAGTGTTCAGATAATATTAGAAATTTCTTATTACCTTGTGAATCTTTATAATTACTATTATAATAATTAATTAAGCACATCACAGAAGAATACATTTCAGTCAACCTTCTAAAATTTGCTTTTTCTTATTATTTCTCTTGGTAACTCAAACCTTATGTATAGGTATGTAAGCATACTCACTGTTTCAAACTTTTTTTTCCCCTTCAGATACACTATACTGTGGCCCCCATGGTATTTGTTAAACATTTGAAGTCACCTTTTAATTTTTGGAATTTTTCTGTATACAATTTTGTTCAAATATTCATGATAGTATTGGCAAATATCTTCATAATTAATTTAAAATCATCGTATATTAGAGACTTTTTTTAAATTATTTTTTTGATTCATAAATTGCTATCTAATATATTAAGTTTTGAATTTTAAGTTATTTCACAAAATCATGGTCAATGCAAATTCAGAAAATTACATGCATATCTTGCTGTTTTCAGAGCTTCTTGTTATAAGATCTTTACATTTTCATAAATGCTTTATCATGTTTGGACTATTAAATTACAGTGAAGTTGTGTTTTCAACAGCCTTCACAAACAATATCCCATTATGGCAACATCTTCTGGCCAGCGCCATCCATACTGTCCGGATTGCGAATCGGATGAAGAGGCTCCGCCAAGAACAAAAAAACGGCATGTACACAGAGAAGATGCTGTCAAACTGTGGTGGTTGGGTCTAAATGCTTCTCCTTCAAATCAACAACAGTCTGAAGACTGAAAGTTAGTACCTACTAATCTTCATATCTTAATTTTCTAGATGTAGTGAGTTTAATTTTCACTTGATTTTATTTAACATTTGTTACATGCCAAGATTATGTAGTGAGTGTGTAATATCTTTAGGTTTTTCATTGTGTTTAATAGTTTTCTTTGCCCATTCAATAGACATAGTTTTAAACCATGGAACTATAAATTTTTGAACTTTTTATAATACTTCACAGAATTTTTATAAATATTTTTATTATATTTTAAAGAATGGTTATTGTTTTCTTTTAGTCCCAAGTATCTGATCTTAATTTATACTAAGTACTTACCTAAAGTTTGCAGAATGTGAGGAATCATATACATCTAACCTGCCAATTTTAATTGCTGAAGATTTTAAATTAAACAATTAAGCATGATCCTTGCCCTACAAAAATTACAATTGCAGTCATTAAATAACAATCACTGTTAATCTAATTAAAGGACAAAAATAAAGTTGGATTTATTATATTTCTGAAAAGCAACAACCTTATTTGACAAACGGCACCCACGAAAGAGTTTTGTTACTTGACTCCTTGGCTGTCTGGGTGAAGCCTCGTCATTGGCCTCACAGCCAACAACGCGGCGTCATCGGGACAGTCAAGCAGTTGTGATCTCGAGATGTTGAAGCTTACGTTAACATTAGTTTTGTTTCTTGTATTTCTTAATAATATTAATAATATTTTGATTTGTTAATTTTTTTCAATACCATTTGTTTACATTTAAAATGAAACATATGTTTTGAAGAATCTGTCTATTAATCCCTTTTCATAGTTTTTAAAACATCAGCTCAAGTTTTACTTTGCCCATACTACAGCTATATTATATACTACTTATGTAGTGTAATATATGCTATATTAAGTAACAATGATTTTTTTACCCAAAATGAAGTTTTATGGGAGCTTGATACTGAAAACTGGATAATTATATTTTCTCTAAGTAACAAATTACATTCTCCGACACATGTTGGTCAGAACCCATGCATTGTGGGTCTCTGGTATCAAAAAAATGGTTTACAGCGAAACATCTCTCTGTGATAAATGCTAGTGCCAAAATTGGTATTTCCTCATCGGTCTGTCCAATCTCAAAGGTCCTGTGAATTTGAAATGAATATTTTGTTTTGTGGAGGTATTTTACATGAAGCCTTTACAAAATGTGAAAATTTCTCAAAAACATCTCCAAATTTTTTTCTCAGATAGAGCAAATTGTGTATAAAAATGGTGCGTGACTTGTTTTCTTTAAACACTGAATTTTCAACAACTGCAAAAGTTCAGAAGTTTTTCAGCATTTTCCTACAACTACGTTATTGAAGATAAAGAATTTCTCCATAGTTAAATCTGTTCTTTAGATGCAGATCTTTAAATAAGGTCTTGTTCAATTTTTATAAAATTCTAGTAATAATGTAAGTTTGCATGAAATATAGGCAAATTTTAAACCATTATTTTCTTTCAAAGAAAAGTGCAGAGCCCATTTTTGATGAACAACACTGTATTTTTGAAAATTGCAAAAAATTCAAAAATAAAGTTGCAACACAACAATAATAATAGAGATTTTTTACTTAATAAAATCTGATCTCAAAAATTTTATCTTTAAATAAGGTCATGTGTAATTTTTTGAAAATATGAGAATTTTGGCAAATCTTTGAAATTGCAATTTCAAATTTCTCCTGCTTTTTTTTCTGAAGAGAGTCTTTCATGTGATAGCTGAAGAGTTATTTGGATATAATTTGCAATATTATAGTCTGAGAATTACATATCTATTACAGATACAACAATAAAATCTGTACCTTTTATGAAAATAGGCCTTGTAGCATCTTGACAACGCTTCCCTCCAGTGGTCTTGTTTCGGAGCTTGTCCACGATTGTGACAATGCGTTCCCTGGAGGGATAAAATATTATATTGTCATTATTGGATTATTAATGGAGTAACAGGTCAGATGTTCTACGTATTAGTTACATTATTTTGTGGTTCCTGATTGTGTTACATTTATATTGTTCAGTTGTGTGTAGGTTACTGAAGATAATATTTACATGATATTATAAGGCAAGTAGTATCATCTTTTCCTTTAGGCCAATTGGAGGTTTTCTTGTAATTGTGACCATGGTCTAGTTCATATCAAGTCGTAATTCAAGAATGCAAATGCTGTATGTGCTTATATTTTATGACTCATATGGCATATTGTGAAAGTTTTTAATATTATTTATGTATTCACTTTAAATATAAATACTTTGAAAGTTATCCAATAAGCTTACTAAATACTGAAGTGGTATTATGAAAAGTACACAAATTTTGAACAGTTAATTTATTTGAAAGTACGTAAATTGGACATTATTTCTTGAAATGTACAATTTTCCCTGAAAGTAAAAGTATCTCCTGAAGAGTTTCAAAGTCTGCTGTTAATATGGACTTGGCATCAAACTATGATCATACAAAATGTGTAAATTTTTGAAGGGTGTGTTATGCTAGATTCTAACATAAATGCTATATTATAAATGTTTCACAAGTATTTTTGAATTATTAGGATGTTAAAAAGTGGAAATGTAGTGTATGTGACAGAATGGTACACAGAATGAACTTCATGGACAAATTAAAATTGTGGCAATAAATCCTCATTGGGTATGTTCTGTTTTTCTTGAAATAATTAAAAAATTATGGTATTGCTTTTTTTTCTTCCAGCATTAAAATTTTGTATTTTCCCTGAACGTGTGAAAATATCGGTCCACTGTGGAACAGAGGAAAACAGTTTGTGTAGCGTGCATTGTACTGTTGCTAGTACCAACAAAGGCAGTGTGCAGAAATGCTCATCCTGAACAAAAAAGGGATTTACTTTTGACAAGTAGAAAGCCAGTGGGTAGATTACCAAAATGTATGGTTTGGATGAGAGAAATCTAGAAGAAATTTCACAAGGAAAGTGGTACACGAAGGAAAAAGTATCTACATCTTTCAACATCATTAGCATAGTAGGAATGAACATATTTGTCAGAAGAAAGGGATATATTAGATTGAAAACAATATTTTGTGAATTGTGTTCAGTTATATAATAAATGTCCACATTGCTACAGCAGACTGAAAACCTGATTGCTCCATGTTTCATTAACTGCCGTAATCCAGCATAGTGGAATATGTTGGTTGCGAACAAGTGTTTTTCTCAGTGTATTTTAAATTCTTCACTTTGACAGCTTAATAATTGTTAATTTGATCAAGTATGTACCATCTACATCCAATTTAGAGTAATATCAACTCATTGCCAGATATTTCACTGTTTGTATGTGAATACTCTCGCATTGCAACTCGTATTATTGGAAGTATCAATCTTTTATAATAAAATAACAATTGTACCTGACATCTGTGTGTAATATAATGTTTTAGAAAGTACTTTGTGTATAAAATGTTTTATAAAAATATCAGAGAAATTTGATAAAATTGTTTTTGTTATCAGAATTTTTTGATGATTTCTTCTCGTTCCACCTCTTCTTTTTTTCTGTTTTTCTTTTCTAGTTTTTATAATTATTTTATATTCTTTTCAATTATTTATTTTATTTACTTTACTTTTTTTGTTTCGTAAATCAGCCGTCATGGAGCCACGTGATACCTGTATACCACTGGAGTTCAATGTTGAATATCGGAATGGGTGCTCATTACTTTCTATAGTAATGTGCACCCATTCCGATATTCAACATTGAACCCCAGTGGTATACAGGTATCACGTGGCTCCATGACGGCTGATTCACGAAACAAAAAAAATTGCGTTGATGATAATGATGATGAATGATAAAATAGACATACAAACATACAGAGACACACACACACACACTAACATGCCCAAGGCAGGACTCAAACCCGCGATCCTTTGGTCTGAGATCGCTCCTGGACTACTCCCTTAGTGATCTCGGCTTACTCTACTTTATTTACCACTTTTTAAACTTTTTATTTTATTGTTGCAATTGCGATCATTAAGATTTCAGTTCCTGATTTAATGAATTTTTCATATCAATGTATTGATTGCCCCCTTTTTTATTTGCCTTTTTTATTTTATTTGGGAGAAACATAAGAATGATCGTTTTCTCTATCATTCAAAAATGGATGTTCTTTGTCTACATTGGTAATTTCTGCAGATAAGTTCTGTTATGTATGTTTTCTTAGGATTGTTATCGAGACCACTATTTCCCTTTTTCTTCAATATTATGATTATACAGAGCAAAGTGGCTTAGTTCGTAGCTTGCTGCCTTCGCAACCAGGAGGTCTGTGTTCGGTCCTCAGACCGGCCATCCTGACCAGAGTTTCTCGTGGTTTCCATTGGTCATAAGGCAAATGTTGGAATGGTTTAAAAATGCCACGATCACCTTCCACCACCCCACCAGCCACCTCCCACCATTACCCTAGTCCTTTCTCCCCTCATCATCGCTATTTATCACTTCATTCAGCATTCCCTGCAGAAGGCAGGAGGCCCTTGCCCTAATGAGATCTTGGTTGGCTAATAAAATAATAATAATTATGATTATGTCCAATTGGGCGTATTACGAATCATGTTAACTACATTTAAAGACTTTCTTTTTAACTTCAGTTGTTCTCCTTGTATTGTGTCAGAATGGTTACTCATTAGTTCTTTAGTGGAGTTAATTGGATTAATTGGTGAAATTACTTAGATTAAAGATTATGTTCTTTGCTATACTATTGTTATATGTTAGTATTGTATTGTGTTGTTTTTCATGAAATATTGTAATTTCTAATTCTCAAGAATCACTATTAAGTGTATACCTGCATGACATTTTAAGGTAAACATAAATAATATGGAACATGTTTCCGTTCAATCAAATGAAATTGGATGTACCTCTTTTCTGTTTTTCTATTTGAATGCAATAAATCAACATAAATGAGTTACATATGCTCTTGTTTTTTTGTTTAACCGCATTTTAAACTTATAATTTAATTTTGGGAAACATCTTTATTGTGATGTCACTAGTATTTGACATTGTGTCAAAAAGCTGTGCTCGTCTGTACCATTTTCCGCTACCCTCCACAATTCTCATGCTGTGATTGGCTGAATGTGTGATGACGCAATTATTTGTGCCATAAACAGTTAGTATGTGAAAATCTCTACCATAAGATGTCCTTTTACGAGTGATTTCTTGAAACAAAAGTGGTTATTCATAATACTGGAAAACAAAAATATCTGTTACCACTTGAATTACATTTGAAGTACTACTGGTTGTGATAGTGCATGACACTATGTGGTTGTAAGTCCCCAACTTTCTGTATAAATGTACTAGATCGGATCCTTGACTCTGCCTGCCCCTATTGTTGTTTCTTTTATTTCCCTTGTTCAATTTCACATGGCTGCTGGAGTAGAAATAAATAACTGGCCATGATCTGCATGACCTTCCATTACCTTCCTTGGCCATCCTGCATGCACATTCATCCTTTGTCTAATGGCTCATTTTCCCTTAGTCTAGAAAGTGTCTGACACTGGAAGGAGTCTTGTCATCATGCTCAGATATACAAATGGGATGCACAGTAAGATGCAAAACTGTCATGGGAAAAAAACTATTTTTTGCAATTTTCTTGACTAGAGAGTTCAAGAAAAATGAAACCTGCACCATTTTTCTAAAGCTTCTTTGGAGACATTTTTGAGAAAGCAATTAATAAATTTATTTTACTCAGTAGCACTCCCAAGTGTGAGGGGCGCATGGGGTTTCAGACTGCTCCCAGAAGTCAGTGACATATACACAGAAAGAGCTTTTTGAGTAACATTATAAGTGTTAATGATTAGTCATCAAATAAAAATTACAGTTTCAGCATAAATGAAAAATTCTTTTTTATGAAAACTCAAGTAGGATGGGCACTATACCTGTAGTCCCTTTTGGAGAAATATCCTGGGTTCACCTCAGCATTTATTTTAAGCAAAAATTATGTTATTCGTTTTTTCAAGTTTTTTCATGACCTCATTTAAGATATATTTTTAACATATTTCATTAAGGAAGTTTATCGCTATAATTAATGTTGTACATTTGTAATGTTAATTTTTTGGAATTTTCAAAAGTAGGTCGCCAAAAATGGGGCCTGCACCATTTTTATAAATAGGATGATTTTATGGCCTGAAAAATATTGAAATATGCTTTTAAAAATATGCATTTATGACCTAAAAATTCTAAAATATGAACTTTAATATTCAATTAAAACTAACAATATTTCATTTGCTATATAAACCTTTCTTGATAAAATCCAGGAGATGTATGCTTGGAATGAAAAGATATACTTTTGTTCAAACATAATTGAACTTAGCTTACTTTGCAGGAGAAATAATTGAAGTAAATATGCACCTTAGTGAAGTACATTATAGATCTTGTTTCATTTTTTTCTGTCTGCTTTAAAAAATAGGATGTCAAGAAATATCCTACATTTGCACCAGTATTTGATCTTCTATAGAAAAGAAAAAATACCCTCAAACTGTGACATGCTCTTTCTAATCAATGAACACTCACAAATAAATAGATTCTATGAAAGCATTATATGTTCTAGAGATAAGTCTATTTTAATGAAATATGCAAAATATGCTCCTATAATTACACGAATATGCACCAGCAGGAATAATGTGCAATAACATATTAATCTATATAGCATCCATTTTGAACTAAATGTAAAGAAATTTCACTTAGCTATGTCCTGAAGCAACGGTTAAAAATATGCAAAATCATCAAAATCATAGATGTCTTCTCCCTATTTATAAGCACACTTGGTAATATTCAAGAAAAAAAATTGAGGAAGAAATTTGCAAAATTTGCTTTATTAGAAAATTATTGTTTAAAAATTGCCGAAATTTCAAGCAAAATTACTCAAGAACTACTCACATTGTCAAAAAAATGTGCATGAACCAACACATATGTATTGCCATTTTTTAAGTAGATAACATAAAGGAAAAAAATTGTGTATCAACAATATTTCACTTTTGCAATGTTAACATTTTGGATTTTTTGAAAATACAAAGAGTTCACCAAAAATTAGACCTGTACTCGAGAAAAAAATTGAACAAAATTGTTTAAAAATACTTATATTTCAAGATTCATGAAATCTTATATTTTTGAAAATTTGTACATGGACAGACAGATGTTTTCAAAAACAAGAAGTCACAAAACATGAATTACTCTACATAGAGCGAGGACGTAATTTACTACATGTAGGACTAAGATTTATCCACTGTTTTAAGATATCAGGGGTCAATATGAGTTTCTCCGTTGAAAAAATAAACAAATTTTTACATTTTCGTATGTATGTGTGTATATAGGGAATACTGTACATAATCACATAGAATAAAGAAAATTATGTAAAGCTGCGGAAAATAGATGTTGAGATTTCAACAGAAATACACGATTTGGGATCTCCTGATAACACAACTAATGGTACTACTGAATGGCACAGACTTTCCCATATTAGTTTTCTATTTCCTTTGGTCTCTTCTAGCTATTCGGACTTACCACATACTCTTTTCAGCTGCCATCTATTGCTGCCCAAACTACATTTTTTTAAAATTTTCTTAATTTTTGGTGCCCTAATAGTACAAGAGAAATAATATTTCAAAAATATTAAAGAACAATAAACAATCGCTTAATGACAATTTCTTTGAAAAATTTGAAGTCATTTTTAAGAAAATGGCATTTAAGCGCTACTATAAATTCAAAACTTGAATCTATTTTCACAGAAAACTATTGAGTTTTTTGAAAAACTGCATATGGAGTCGTTTCAAGCACTTCCAGTGACATGCAATAGTGTTTACAAATTCCTGGAAATGTGCATATTTAAGGCATGAGTGATATTTTAAAAAAATTACATTGTGTTATTTTTGAAGAAACAAATGAATACAACAAAATTCTATATCATTCTTAAACAGTGTGATTAGCACAATCTGTTGAAAAAGTTTGAAGAAAACATTTGGAGCGGTTTTTGAGAAAATGGTGTTTTAGGGTTTCTAAAAATGCTGAATTGTGATGTAGATTTCTCAGAAAACTGTTACGTGTTCAGGGACGCTTGTCTGACATTTAAAGAACATGAACTCATAAATACATTAATGAAAACAATTGCCGCTAATGTAAGTATTTACAACATGAAAGTCAAGTCAAGAAAATTACATTTTTGTATTATTTTTGACAATTTTTTTTATAATTGCAAATATTGCTAGAAAACTACTAAAAATTTCAAAAAAATTTACATGACCTTAATGAAAGAACTAATTATGGAAAACAAATGTATTTGATGGAAAAACGTGTGTCTTCAATTTTGTAGTTGTAGGAAGACATGGCAAAAAATTCAAACTTTTGTAATTTTCAAAAATTCAGAGTTTACCATGTAAATCTGTTTTATGTCACCTTTAGAATCATATTTTATTCTATTACAAGAAATTTAAAGAATTTGAAGTGTTTTTTTGAGAAAATTTTGAAAATGCCTCATGGGCTTCATGTAAAGTACCTCCAAGTTTTAAAGAATGTTTTTCAAAGTTTCAACTCGAGCCAGATTGACAGGATTTTCTTCAATTTGGAAAAAATCCTTCCTTTGGTTTATGCCATTGCAATGTTCTCATACAGATGGATGTTTGGGGGGAAAAATTGGATGTTTAAGGGGACCCTAAAACATGTATTTCTGTAAAAATCTCGAAATCGATTTTTTCGTATGTTTATGGGATAGTTCAAAGTGTTTTAAAATGTCCATCTGTAAACAAAACTCGTGAAACTATACGTAGGATTATTTTCCAAACTAAATATTCCTTGGTCATGCTAGCCTCACTCGGAGCTCTGCGATTTTCAATAACATTTGTTAATTTTTGGGGGTTCTTTTCCTGGGATGTTTTCAAAATTTTACCAAAAATGGCTCAAAATTTCTTGTCAGAAAAGTGTGAAATATGATATAAGATAGCATAAGTGCGATTTTCATTTTGAACTAAGTTTTGAAAACTTGTGAAAGTTTAAAATTTTTTTGGTGTGTATTTTCAACTTTAAAATTGCCATCATTTAAAATTTGTTCTCCGTAATTAGTTCTTATTTTTTTCTTATGGTCATTATGTTTTTTGAAAATGTTAGTTATTTTTGGCCAATATTACATGAAATGTGCATTAATAAAAAATATAAAAAACAAACAAAATCTTAAAAATGGCTCCAAAGTTTTTCTTTAAACTTTTGGTAGGGTTAGTGCTACACGTACTGTTAGAGATGACATAAATGCCATTTGCTTCTTTCCTTTCCTTTTCTTTTCTTTACTTACTTTTCTTTCTTGTCTCTTTGGTCTTTTACTGGTCTCTTTGGTCTTTTACTTGTCTCTTTGGTCTTTTACTTGTCTCTTTGGTCTTTTACTTGTCTCTCTGGTCAATAATATTTTTGTTAACTGTGATTTGTCCACATAATTGCAATTATGGGCACTTTTTTTTGTCTCTTTGGTCAACAGAAACTTTTTTTGTGAAAATGAGCTCAAATTTCTGTATTTTCAGAAACACTCAAATGCAGTCAAAATCTTTAAAAAGAAAATTATATACTTCGAAGCTTCTGTGTTAACAAATGTTATAATATTATGAGAAATATTTAAAAAACAGTTATGTAATTTTTGAAAAATTAAATGAATATATGTGTATGACAGAACGTATGTTACTATCTAATGGAAGTCTAGTGACACCTGTAAGAAGGGAACATCTGTTTTCTAATGTGCTGAAGGAGTTGGGAGTTTCAGTATTAAGAAGAAAATAATTCAAATAAAAAGTTAATAATATTAGTTTATTCCATTCAAGTTACTTGTGTTTGTGTTCACAACTGACTAAAAAGACTAATGTTGAATTAACACAGTCCATAAAAACTGAGACATTTAGGCTTTACATAAAAATTCATGGTGGGCTGTGTTGACAACCAAGATTTTAATTGACTGTTTTCATTTAATATATGGACGGACACCTAAGGCAAAACTTTACATGATAACAATTCCTTGCTAATTCCTGGTTTAGGAACAAAAAAATTGCTGAACAGAGTAGACACTTTAGGTGATTAAAAACCAGTTTTATCTAAATGTTCTTGTTTTTGTTTGTATAAGGTGCTTTAATTTTGTAATCTTCATTTTGCCCATGAACAGTATTGGACATTAGACAGATTAGGTTTATAATCTTTATACTAATAACCAATAATAATCATGAGAAAGTTTCATTTGTGTATAATTTGAAATATGGTCATGTGAATTATTGCTTATGAGGAGAACAAAGTACAGGTAACGCCAGGAAGACAAGAACTGCGGTTTTACTCTTCATCAAAGGTTTCTTATAAACAAAATAAAGAAAAACAAATTGTTTTATGTGTACGCAATAACATCACAACAGAATTTACTTTTGTTGTATTACATGATTGTATGCAGGCAAACCAGCAGTTCTGGAATCTTAACGAGTCTCCTCTTAATATTCCTCAGCATCGTCTACCTCTCCCTCTACAGAATCAACTCCCACTTCTTCATAATCCTTTTCCAGAGCTGCTAAGTCTTCTCTGGCTTCTGAGAATTCTCCTTCCTCCATACCTTCTCCAACATACCAGTGCACAAATGCACGTTTAGCATACATCAAGTCAAACTTGTGATCAAGACGAGCCCAGGCCTCTGCAATGGCAGTTGTATTAGAAAGCATACACACTGCTCTCTGCACCTTGGCCAAATCACCTCCAGGGACAACCGTTGGAGGTTGGTAATTTATGCCAACCTTGAATCCAGTGGGGCACCAGTCCACAAACTGAACAGAAAAAAACAAAACATGATGATTTAATTATTATATGATCATATAAATTAAGTTGATAAAATTCAATAATAGGTATATTTATTCACATTGTGGATTTATTTTCAAAATTTGTAAAATAATGAATAAGATTTCTGATTTTTGCAGATCATGACAATTGGTTGAATATCAAAGCCAAACCTCTAAATCAGTATGATAATGTAAAAATTGTTCATTTCAAATGTTGCTTGGGATGAATGGTAATTGGCAATTTCAATCATCTAATTTCTTACCTGAATAGTACGTTTTGTTTTGATGGTGGCTATGGCAGCATTCACATCCTTGGGTACTACATCTCCTCTGTAGAGCATACAGCATGCCATATATTTGCCGTGTCTTGGGTCACATTTCACCATTTGGTTTGCTGGTTCAAAGCATGCATTGGTGATTTCAGCCACAGTTAATTGTTCATGGTATGCTTTCTCTGCTGATATAACAGGAGCATATCTGAAAAGTGATTACTGTTAGGTGAAACAAGAAGATTCTAATTTTGTGACATTTCATTAAAGGTTATTTAAGCATGATGTATCAAGAAGTAGTTTCTGAAGTATTTTTTAAGCATGTCTGTTTTTAGTTTCTTCTGTATTTAATATTGATCTAATACCCTTAAAACCCAGTTTTGGGGCCTCAAAGATATGCAAGGCTATAATCTACAAAATTTTTAGGCTATAATCTACAAAATTAGATGTATTTGGACCATCTTCTATTAAAGTTTTGGAGGTTTATCTCTTCAGGTTACTCCAATCCATTATCTGGGTGGGCAGAAACATGAAGAATCTCAAAGTCAATTGCAAAATTAAGTTGATTAATTCAATGTTTTTTCTAATGTAATGGGAACTGCCCAAAGCTTTTAATTTGTTGTTGATGGTGATTATAATAGTAATAATAACAGTAATAATCATATGTACAATTTATGTAGTCACCAAAGAGATTTGAGGTGTAATTTTTATACATAATAATAATTTGCAATATTAAGCATATTTACATATGAATAAAACAGGACTTATTTATCTTGGCTAAAGCTGGCTGGCTGGATGTATGTGACATTTGAGAGGCTATATTTAATCCAGAAACAAAACTAGAGGCTATCACAGTGCTTGCTGAATGGATCAAGAAATATTGAAAAAATCTATCAAAAGTGGGGATCCAGAAGCTGGTTACGATAGTTTTTATAGACATTTTCAGTCTTTTAGAGGTATAGAATGAAAAGGTAATCAGTATATTTGTATCATTATTATGAATGTCCATAACATGAATAATTTCAGGTGGAAAAAACACCTCGAAATATTTGCAAAAAATAATTGCTTTATAGTTGTTTCATAAGAAAAGATACCTTAAGAAAGAGTTTTTTTTAATTTTTGATTTCGTTTTAGCCCTTACGGGCCGTCCGTAAATTACGTAATGCAAATTTGAAGTATTTTGAATAGCCCCTCTCCTCCTAGTAACGCATCTCCCTAAATAATTACGTCACGCTTGCGACAACACACCTCCCCTTGTGAATGCTATAAGTGAAAATAAATTGTAGCTCAGTAATAATATTGTAGTGTCATAAAAATATAAAGTAGTCCAATGGGAAATCGCTAATTCAACTAGGTCGAATCTGATTTCGTAACGGTTGACTCACCAGTTGAAAGAAACTTAAATTTGCACAACGATCGACGCTAGATATTTGGCGTCAGAAAGGTACACGAAAGAGGAAGTTAGCAAGTAATGTCGTCATTCGGAAAATGGGAATAATTCCCCCGAGGTCAGACAAAGCCCCCAGCATCCCCGTGTGAAATGTTTCCTGGAGCTTCCTCTGAAGCGAACCCTGCGCGCGAGGAGCGCACGTGCTTACGTGGCGAGCGGGAAGTGGATGCGCGGGTAGGGCACGAGGTTCGTCTACGTTGAGCGCGCCGTCGAAGCGCAGCGACGCCGTGATGGACGACACGATCTGCCCGATGAGCCGGTTCAGGTTGGTGTAGGTGGGGCGCTCGATGTCCAGGTTGCGCCGGCAGATGTCGTAGATGGCCTCGTTGTCCACCATGAAGGCGCAGTCCGAGTGCTCGAGCGTGGTGTGCGTCGTCAGGATGGAGTTGTACGGCTCCACCACGGCCGTTGACACCTGCAGTCGGGTTGCTTTTGAGGAAGGAAATTCGGGGATTTCATAGCCCTTAATTGTACTTAAACAAACGAGGTGATTGATGGTCTGTTCTTAGAAAGAGATTCATAAGAATAATAATTTAGCTGTCTTAATTTAATTCGAACTCCAGGACTCTCGAAATAACACGAAGTTTAATTAACACGCATTTCCAAAAACATGTCTATTAAAGAAAAAAAATAATTATACTTAAGTCATTATTAGACAGTCGCGTCTCTTTTTGTAAATGTCATGTTATTACAAGCCAAAATATGTTCATCTCTTACAAATCATGAAAAGAAATTGTGACACAAAAATATGTAGTAGACTGCGTGACTGTGACACTTTCATCCCAAAGCATTTGACCTTATTCTTTCTCATTCAGATTTAAATTATATCATCCAAAGAAACCGTTACTGCTAAGATTCCAGATGTTCGATTATTGTTATCTAATCAACGATCAAACGTTCTTCCATCTGCTTCCAAAAATTGGTTTCTTCAAGTAATTAGTACAGAACAGTCCGGGAATTCCCCAAAATTTAGGATACTTTCTTCAAAATATATAAAGTTTTGACTTTGAATTATCATAATGTAGTTTTAAATTTATAAGTAAACATTATTTTTTATATAGTTCATGTAGGAATTTCAGAGAGTTAAGACTTAACTTTTAATATTATCCTAATTAAATTAACTAGCGTTCACTGATTTTTTAACAGGCAGTGAATCAGTGTACATCGGTCGTGAACAAGGGAAATTATGTGTTTTCAAGTGTTTTTATATAATATAATGGATAGATGCACTACAGTGGCCCAAAGACATGACTGCAACGTAGATCACCATACCCATGTTTCTGAGCGAGGGCATTCCCACTGGGTACCTCTATGACGACTGTTTTTAATTTTATGAAATTGAAAGGAAAAGTGAGAGGTGAGGTAATATTTTTTTTCTTTCGAGCATCTATTTTGCACGCGCACCGCCCAAGCGAAAAGAGAAGCCGGGAGTAGGAAGGACGTAGTCGGGGGCAGAGGCTTTTTGACGTACCTGCGGCGCAGGGTAGATGGAGAACTCGAGCTTGCTCTTCTTGCCGTAGTCGACGGAGAGGCGCTCCATGAGCAGGGAGGTGAAGCCGGAGCCGGTGCCGCCCCCGAACGAGTGGAAGATGAGGAAGCCCTGCAGCCCCGTGCACTGGTCAGACAGCTTGCGCACGCGGTCCAACACGATGTCCACGAGTTCCTTGCCGATGGTGTAGTGGCCGCGCGCGTAGTTGTTGGCGGCGTCCTCCTTGCCCGTGATGAGCTGCTCAGGGTGGAAGAGCTGGCGGTACGTGCCCGTGCGCACCTCATCTGTAGATTGATTGATTTTGAGTGATTCTGAGCGCGTCAACTGCAGAGGTCATTAGTCTCGTAAGTCATATGTTATCTCTTATATGTTCACGTCATATGTTTTTTCTTCGGGAGGGGACGATCTTTTCCCACTGGATGGCGAGATCCGGTGCCAAGCTACCGTTGGCTAGTGGGGGTTTCCCCAACCAGGTATCTACCACCAGCGGAGCACCGCCCCAACCGGAACAAGCTCTAAGCTCCCGACCTGGCCTCCCATCATATAGGGTAGTGTAGAGCATGTTAGTGGAAGTGGATGTAAGGGGTGATGAAAAGACAAGGAAGGGGAATGAAAGATCGCGCGCAGTCCGTAGCTTGTTTGTTAGTGTTCTGCTCCGGCATTCGCTTGGTATTGATCGGATAAACCAAGGAAAACTATCGATCAAGGCAGCCGGCCGCTAGAATTCTCCAGACAATGTCTGAATTCGACCTGTCCTGCCACTGTCGGGACTCGAACTAGGTCCTCCCGGTCCGAGGCACTGACATTAGTTGATGTCCTGAGCCACCTCTTCCTGTTCATCTGAAGTGATGGTATTTTAGCAATTGCTGAAAATGCAAAATGTTACCAAACGCCGAAAAAAATAGTAATTGTATGTATGACGGTCGGTGCAGTATATTTCTAAAAGTTTTCAATTTCCGAAAAAATGCGAAACCAAATGCGAAAACACGTACGAAGTGCGGAATGGTCGTGAATGTGCAAAATAGTTGCTAAATTGCACTTTATGGTTTCCTTCGTATTCGCTTTTAACTAAAGATACGACATCTACAAGAACACATCGATGTTTGAAAACATTTAATTTTAGAGTGGCCGTGTTTATTAATTTATAGTTAAGATTAAAACGGAAAAACAAATTAAATAATAATAATAACAATTTTAAAAAACTGATCCTGAAAGCCTGAGCGCTGTGGATCATCTCAAAGGGTCTCAACTTGCTCTGTTCGCTGAATGGAGAAAGTCACGGGAAGTAGAGGAAGGTCATAGGCCTACGACGCACGCGTTACTTCTTACGCTTTTATATTCGTTGAAGTTGGTAAATGCCGAAATATTAAATGAAGTTACCTTACTTTCTGAATTTAATGGGAAAATCTAAAAAGCTTCAAACAATTTTTTTTAATTTCAAAGAGCCCTTCCTTAATACTAATTTTCCCAACAAATGCTACAAAATTCAAAATTTTAAATTTTAGTGCTATAAAATGCCTTGCCTTTAGAATGCGATTTTAAAAATGTAAGTCGCTAAAATCTATCAGCATTGCTCATCTGCTCCAGGGAGCCGTTGTAATCAACATTCGGCGCAGTAGTCGATGAATGATTGTGGGCGTATCAACGACTGAGGAAATCAGAACCGTAAGTGTAGTGCGTGTTATATTCTCGAGATATCGGCGTTCCTCCCCTCCAACATGTGAGATTCGGTGCCGAGCTGCACATCGACTCTCGTAAGGAAAAGCTCTAATGACGTAACAGGTTTCTCGACACGTGAGGCAGTGTAGTACATGTAAGTGTAGGTGTGTGTAAGGGAGACGAGGATAAGGAATGAAAGATCGCTCGCCACCCATGGCCCGTTAGTTAAGGCCCTGCTCCGGCATTCGCCTGGTGTTGATATGGAGAAAACTATCGATCAGAGCAGCCGCAATAGAAATTATCTTCCAAACAGTGGTTGAATTCCATTCCTGTATATAGCTAATGTGGGAAATCCGCGGCCATCGGGGCTCAAATCCTTGAACCCCCGGCGAATGACGCTGCAGAGGCAATTATTACCGCTGTGCGATCGTAACCTGTTCATTTGATAATTTATAATGATTTTACAAAGGTGCGAATGAGCATTTTTATAATAATGAGAAATTTAGGGAAAACGAACGGACAAATGAAAACGAAGATACTCGCGTACGATCAACCGTCTGAATTCGTCCTAAGAAATTCCTCTGTAGAAAAGTTTTTTTTTTTTTTTTTTTTTTTTTTTTCAATTTTCTTGATGTGAATATTTCAGCGATGAAATCACAAACGAAGCACCTAGATGGCAGACTTTTCGGTGGAGACATTCTTCATATATAATATTCTTCCAGGGTACATCAAACTGTCTAAGGGGAGGAGTGAGCGATCATCAACACCTCCGCGTCGCGCTGCCCTCGTTTCTGGTGTTAGTGTGATAAGCCTAATGTAGATTTAAAAAGCTTAATATCCCCCATATAACCTCTACTATAGTTCGCTAAGTTCCTGTTGTTAAAACTAGCAAATAAAATCACACTATGTTGACATACGTCATTGTGTTCAATAAAATAACTTTAAGGCCTACTGCGTTTTTCTGCAGGGTTTTCACACAAAAAGTGAAATGTAAATAGTTATTGAAATTGAAGGCTATGTTTCCTTTTGTGATCTCAGGAAGATTTTAAAAACAAAATTATGATAAGTCTCACACTCGTCGATCCTATTTATTTTCCATTGAATAATTAAATGATTAGTGATTCCGGGCGCGTCAGTTGCTAAGGTCATTACTCCCCTAAGTGAGTGCATGTTCGTTCATGGCGAGGTGGCGGTGATCTTCCCCCAGTGGATGATGGGACTCTCCCGTAGGCTATCAGGGTTTCCCCAACCAGGGTTCTCCGCCAGTCGACACTGTCCCAGCTGAGACAAGCTCTAAGCTCCTCTGCCATACGTGGTAGTGTACTGCACGTAAGCGAAAGAGTGTTTAAAAGCGAATATAGGACAAGAAAGAAAGGAAAGATAGCGCGCGGTCTGTGGCCCGTTTCTTAGAATACTGCTCCTGCATTCGTTTAAGAATGATTGGAGAAAACACGGAAAACTACCGATCATAGCAGCGGGCCTCTCGAATTCTCTTCCAGGCAGCGACTGAATTTGACCTAGCTATGTAGCTAGTGTTGGCAATCCTGCTAACGTCGGGAGTCGAACCCGAGGACGTGCCAATCCGAGGCACTGCAGAGACATCAGTTGATACCCCGAGCCACCTCTCCCGGTTTTTATTCATTTTCGACAATTCGTGTTTTAGCTTTAACCCGCAATGCACACTGCGTATTCTGCGCGACTGACCTACGACGGTGGGCTCGAGGTCGACGAAGACGGCGCGGGGCACGTGCTTGCCGGCGCCGGTCTCGCTGAAGAAGGTGTTGAAGGAGTCGTCGCCGCCGCCGATGGTCTTGTCGGAGGGCATCTGCCCGTCGGGCTGGATGCCATGCTCCAGGCAGTAGAGCTCCCAGCACGCGTTGCCGATCTGCACGCCCGCCTGCCCGATGTGGATGGAGATGCATTCACGCTGAAACAGAGAAGGCCGAGTTTAGATGGAACCGTTTATGTATAGAGGCTTTGTGTATACTAATAGTTATTATGTCCCAAACGTAAACTAAAAGTAAACAATAACAAATGTTTATTGTGCAGGTTATACGATTTAAAATTGCAAACTCTTTCCAATTACAATACTGTGTCCAGTTTTTCCTCAAGATATACCAATTCGTAGCCCAGATCACAAACTGTTCAACAAGAAACTAACGAAGCAGACACAGCTGGCCTAGACAGATATACTAATTCACAGTCACTAATAATAATAATAATAATAATAATAATAATAATAATTATTATTATTATTATAGTGTGCCCTTTTCTTTTCATTCGGAGTTATCTTCCTCTTTTGCCCCCCTCGCTTCCAAAATGCTATCTGTCGGATCATGGAAGGACGTGTCAGGACCTCCTTCCGTAACTCGCGCTCACCGAAGGTACTCCCAGAGAAGAGCTTCATCGTGCTCCCCGATCATCACGCCGAAGTAGCCCTTAGGCCCTTCTCAGTCCTGTATAATTACTTGCATTCCCGACGTAACCCGTGCGTCCATATTCGAGTTTGGACCCTTACTCTAGGTGTAAGGAGTCAGTTCCTCAATCACGTTGTTACGAGGGCACGATCTTTTGGAAAAATTAGAATATATAGGTGATGCATTATTCAATGGGAATGAACACCATGCCACAAGCGTAACTGAAAACCCGCCTTTCCTTGCCTTTCCTTGCCTTGCCTTACCTTGCCTCTGTGCTTTACATGGGATTCGAACCCACAATCTTCGTGTCCACGTTCTTGGGTGTACCCGTCTCTAATTCGGGCGATACGAGGCCCGCTACACTTTTTTAATGTTATTTACACATTAATGGAAAAACGACGATTTGATTCACTTTATGAGTCTTACAAATGAAAGGACGCGCAACCATTGATAAAATTCAACTGTAACCGCGTGTGCACACGCGATTCTCCTATTACGAAAGCAGAGCTCGCTAGTCACGAACGAAAGCATTTACAAGGTGTTTGCTGATATGAGTAGGTTTGCTTTCACAAGATTCTATTTTTATTCCTGGCAGACACTTCGCTACATTGCGTGTGAACACTGTATCAGGAAATGGTCGATAATTTAAGACAAAACCAATCATCTTTGCAAGAATTGGTAGCATTTGTTTTTAAACTTATGTGTGGAAAATGTGTTCAAACTTGTATTGGTGAATTATTTCGTAAATAACACAGATGGTCATATTTGTACTATGAATAATGTCACATAAGTAAAATCTCAATATATAAAAAGATGGAGAAAGGAAAAAGAAAGAAATTGAAAATGGAATGAAAGTAATTACTCAACCATAGAATTTTATTCCATAATATTTCGATTACGAAGATGATGCCTTGCGCGAATGCAAATTTAAAATCAGTTGCTGAACTTCTTCCGCTCACTCATTTCTGCTCAAGAAGATAGGGGTTTTAATATAAATCAGGTAATAGTTCTATCTAAATTTTGGTAGGTCCATTTGCTAGATCGTATTAACAAAAGCCTTTTGTTTCCTTCAAAATCTTAAGACGTTAATACTAATATCAGCTTTAAGCCCCTTTGGTATGCTACCCGCACAGCGAGCAAACACGACGGGTTGCAGATACTGACGTCATCTCGCGGCGTAAATTTAGACATACATAAATTAATGTATCATTAAAACGATACAGATTTGCCACAGTTTGTGAGCATTTATGAATGACGAGTAATGACTTCTTTACGGAATCTAATGATAAGCAATCCCTTTAAGAGGGGCCACGGATTTGCGAGAGTCGAATTGTTAGAGACAGGTTAATTTTCATACACACAGATTGTTGGATTATTTGATAAAATTATTATAAGAAACCTTGTGTAACAAAAATGACTACGATAATTTCCTTATTAAATAAACTGAAAGTTTTTCTTGGGGAACGTAATTCTAGTTTTGATCATCTTTCTTTCCTCTATGGCTTACTCTTAGTAGACAGTATATGCATGAGAATAGGAGCCTTTGTGCAACGAATTTCTAAAATTACTTACTCCTGAAATTTCTTCGCAACACCAGGAGACAAAAAACTGTTATATTTTTGTTATTATTGATTTATTTTCTTTAATAAATTTTATTTTTAATCCTTAAAGGATTTACTTATAAACACCATGACGACCTATTTGCTTTTTGTATTGCAATGTGGCCATACATCCAATTGTAGTGCAAGCCTTCCTCTCGAACGGTTTGAGAAGCAAATCGCCTACTTTCAGGTTAACCAGTGGTGAGAAGCATTTTCAATGCGAGCATAATTCAGAAAGAACTAAAACATTGTCTAAGGTCTAAGAACACCACTATCTTCATTATTCGTTTCATTATCTAAGCTCTTGATACACTTTTCATGCTCTTTTAGAATTTCTTTTTTCTTTCATTCTTGCCCTTTCATTATCATTGTTGATACATTTTCGGTGCCTGTTTCGAATTCGTCTGTACTTTTGGTGCCCCACATTCATTTTCCTGATTTGTGGGATCTTACGCTGTGTTGCTATTTACATGAGCTTAATATGCACAATTCTCCAATTAATTTACAAATTAAGACTCAATAATTGATATCGTTTCATCAGTTGATGCGTATTCAATTATAATGGATGTGAAGTGTGTGATGGTTTCCATTGTATGTTTTTTAGTGTTGCTGTAAATTGAAACAATCAGAACCAGTGTTATTTTATTATATTAGTGTCATCAGTATTGTAAAAGTAGAACTGTCGTGAAAATCTGTTAATTACTATAATGGTAACGTTCTAAAAATATGCCATTTCTATATTATAAACGCTAGCTTGCCGAATGTTTTATGGAGATCAGAGCATGGTTGTAATATATTATTATGTAATATTTCAGCATGAGGAAATAATATGGAATGTTGAAAAACATGTAAGGCTTCCAACGTCACGTGATGGCACTAAAGATCAGAAAGGAGATGGCGAGTCAAAGTACATCGGGTAGCCGGAGAGAACTACAGTCATTCCATGCATTGGAGCAGAGCTGACCCATTATCTGCGGCACGAGAAGTAATACATCAAACCACAATACCCCCGTGTTTGCGCCGATTCTCTGAAATGGATAACGACTAGCAGAAGAGGAAAAAAGGGGAACAAAATCAGTTTTCAAAGAGCGCCAAAGAATGGGAGAAAATGAAACTTAGACAAAAAAAATCACGATAACTATGGACGAAATGCATAAATATGATTCAAGGAATGGGAAGTGCTGTGAAGTGTGAAAAAGTGTGAAGACTGGAGCGGACGTGTTGCTAATGGTATTTACAGAAATAAGCTAAACAGCTTTTACGCGATATCACATATTACAGAGCATATTAAAATAAGACAAACATGATTAAACGGAACAAATGTACTTCTTAATCTTTAATGAGGGTAGTTTGTTTGTATGCCACTCTATAATTCACATATAACACTAAACCACGATTGACAACTTGTATTATTCATAGAGCATACTTGTAATAAAAAATAAATATTTCCATCTTCATAAATTGGTTGAGGTGCTGGAATGAGTAGCAATGTGAAATAGTCAACATATATGATTGTATGATTAGTCTTCAAGAGAATAATTTGAGTGGTGATGATGCGATCTAGAAATGCCATTTAAACTTGATAGGCATTTTAAATTCTAAACCTGAAACTCTCTTAAAATTGTCGCTTGTTCGTGACGTTCAGGAGGTCAAAATTACATCAATTGCACGCATTCCTCTATAGAATTAAGCAATTAAAACTAGTTTAAACCAATAAGACTTTTACGAAAAGTAATTAGTTTGTAAATAAAACAGCAGAGAGTGAATACCCGTTTTAATGAACTTATTTCACGATTTCTATTTCAATGATTATTTTCATGGTATGTTAAAATCAATGGTTGATTGTAGCAATATCACCCTTTTCATAAACAATGAAGTGCAAGTGCGTGTTTGTAAGGTTGCATATCATTCGAATTCTTATTATGCGCAAAATTGTCGTTTTTGCTCATATTGTATTTTGATCGTACATATCTTGCTTATCATTGTCATTATATCAACTTCTTTTATGATCTGAAAAATTCTGAAGTGTCAGCAACTCCGTCAGTGTTATTACATCACCATTTACCCTTATGCAATTCTAGTAACCCGTTTAATCGACAACTTTTTTCTCATTTTCCGAAAATTTAAATTGCCTTTTAATTTTGTTCCTTCTTTGCCGCTTGCTGGTTCGGACTCAACCCACGTTGTAGCGAAAACAAGACCATTTCGTGTCGCGCCCGGCGGTCAGCACCCTCTGGGGAACCGTTGGGGGGGGGGGACGGGGAACGGGGGGGGGCGGGCGATGGGCGATGGCGGCGCGCGACGATAAGCGCCCGACACCGCACGCGACGCCTCGAGAGCTGCAGCGGCGCGGCGCGTTATATTACGCTGAGCCGGTCCGGCGGCGGGGGCGCTTCCTGTGGCGTGCGCGGTATTTCTGCGCTGACCGCGCGCCCTGCTCCACTCCGCCCCGCCCCTGCACCGCGCTGCTCCTCCTCGCTGCTCCCATCCCATCCCGCATACCCCGCCATTCCCGACCACTCCACTCCGCCCAATCACGCCCCGTCCCGCCCTCTTACCGAGAGGGCACTGCCCCGAGCACCTCCCGCCAGAGGCTTCCATGTTTGCTTGCAGTTGAAACGGGTAGACTGGAAGGCAAGAGAAGTGCTCTGCTTAGACCTGAAAAACCTTCCCTTCCGGGAACCAAGAATGTTTTCGAGAAACATCTAGTAAATGAGAGTATCAATCAGCTTGCCTTTTCAAATCAAAGTTAGCGTTATAATATTCGTAATATAATAGTGTAAAATGAAAGAATGGTGTAATTTAGGGTATGTACGATGTAACAACGATATATTATTTGGTATTCGCGAGGATCAAGTACATAGCTGAACGAGATAATTTATATTCTAAATCTATTTAAACCCATTTCA